ACTGGCTCTCAGGGTCCCAGCGGGGCGGAGGTGGGCACAGGTGGCCTTGGTGTGTCCTCAGCCTCCCCTGGGCTGCAGGCTGCAGGCTGGGCTGTGCCTGTATCTGGGAAGCTGACACAGGGCTCCCTGCTGTGACTTCCTTTGATGCCCTAGCAGCCCTGGGGGTGGCTGGAGGTAAAGTTTGTGTTGCAGGAGGAACTGATGCATCTCCCTTTCCTTTTGGCTTTGTAGTGCTTTCCTCATTCATTTATGAGCCCAAAAATAGAACTTGAGGGCTTACTTTTTGGTAGACAAATCACAACATCTTCTGGCTCGGGAGGGCCAGGGTAGCAGAGGAAACAAAGCTGTGCAAATTTGAGCCTGAGTGACCCACAGTGGGGCGCAGGCAGGGGCAGCTCCTGGATGCATCTGGGCAGCCCTTGGTACCTGGCCAGGGTCCCTGGAGCCACCCCATACCACTCCTGCCTTCACCACCACAACCCCACAGCCTGCTGTACTCCCAGCACAACCTTGGGAGGCCAAGTGGGTGCCTGAGCGGGAAGAGGGGGCTCTGAGACCGGCTGCATCTCACAGTGCCAGGGCCATCTCCGGTGTTTCCGTGGGGGAGTCATATTTTCTTGTTAGCGAGACAACTGCTGTTTCATCATCTGCTACAGCAGCTGAAATGGTTTCCCAAATAGAGGCAGAGAGCACTTGGCTAAATGTGCTTTGCTGAGGAATTCCTGTCCCTCCTAAACCCCCAATCTCCGAAGACACCTGGAATTGAGCTGGGGCCCTGGAGCCAGCCCTTGGCTGGTCAGGGTGGGTTATAAGCAGCCACACCCCGGTCTTTGGGCTCTGAACTGCCTGAGGACAGTTCACACCAGCAATGCTGAGATTAGCTCAGGGTGTCCAAGTGCACATGTTATTTTGGGGGATTCTATCCACTGAAATTTGTTGGCTTGAAAAGAAGCCATGGTCTTCACTGTCTTTTATTTAATGTTACATAATGCCCACATGAATTAGGCAACTTCCTGCAGCTCCAAAAGAGAGCAGTAGAGTTCGGATCCTCTGTTTCATCCTGAGCCAGCAGCAAGGGGTTCCCAGGAGGAGTGCGTTTGATGCCTGCACTCCTCCCCTAGCGAACAAGCTCACCCCTTTCTCAAAAGCCCAGGGGCCCTGAGGTCTCTTGCCTCACAATGTGTCTAGGTGGCAGGCACCACTGGGGCTGCCATCATCCACAGACCAACTAGAGAACTGGAGGGAGTCTAATGATTTTCTGAAATGACAGCCAGAAAGTGGTAGGGCTATTTAATTCCAAAGCCCTCTCCCCTCACTCTACACTGAGCTGGCTGCATGTGGTGTTGGAGGTTCCCAGAGACGGGGAGGAGGCACCAGCATCTTTACTTGGAAAAAAACTTGTGCTCAGCATTAAAGTCTTAGCACGGGAAGCTACCAGCACAGTCAGGTGGCATGTCACCTCGTGCACTCTGTGGTTTGGGGGACACAGTTCAGGGCATCTCCAAAAAAAAATAGCAGGGCCAGAGCTGATGGAGGTTGGGTCAGGAGGGCCCTGGAGGGATGGACAAGCACACGTGAGTGGGGATTAAGCCACCCTCAGAAAGCCATGAGAAGGGCTCAGGGGCACTGATGAAAGGCCCAGATCCTGGGCATTGCCAGCGCATGGGGGGCTGAGTGGGCAGGAGAGGCCTGAAGAGCAAAGAGCACTCAGAGCCTGGAGAGCCACTGGCCCAGAGTATGTCCAGGAGGCTGGCACAGAGGGGACTGGGATCTGTGTCTGATCACACAGCTCCTGCCCCTGCTCCCTTCTGAGTCTCTCATTTGCTAAATCCAGCACATGTGCACACACATGCATGTGCAACACACACAGCACAAACACATGTACATGCACACCACACAGTGCACATGCATACATGCACACAGCACATGCACATACATAATGCAAGACACGTCCATGTGCACAGAGCACACACATGCACACCCTCAGGAACACGTGCACACACACAGCACATGTACATGTGTGCAAAGCACACACATGTCCAGTGCACACAGCATATGCTCACACAAGTACACATGTACAAACCACACGCATGAACACTCAGGTGTACACACTCCCCACAGAGCTCTGACTGGGAATGCAGTGTTGGAAGGAGGCTCCTGGTGGGCACAGAGACAGAACGTAACAACCTACACTAGCCCAGGACACCATCAGTCCTCTACCCCTGGCTATTGCCGTTGGAAGTGCAGTGTCTCTGCCCTGTGGGGTCCCTCATGCCCTCTTCCTCCCCTGTGAGACCTGCCAGCCCACCCTCACATCCCTGGGGTCTCTTCTCTCTTCTCTCACTTGGAGCCATGTGCTGCCCCTGGCCCAGACATCCGTGTCCATGCTGCCCACTGTCCAACAGTGGCGAGAGCTTGCTGGGGTCTTCCCTTTGCAAGAAAGAAGGGATAAAAACTTATTTTTCTTTCTCAGGGACAATAATAATGGTCTATGGAGGGGCCACGTCCTCAGGGCAGAGCTGTGTGCTTGTGGTCTGTGGAGGGGCCATATCCTCAGGGCAGAGCTGTGTGCTCATGGTCTGTGGAGGGGCCACGTCCTCAGGGCAGAGCTGTGTGCTCGTGGTCTGTGGAGGGGCCACGTCCTCAGGGCGGAACTGTGTGCTCGTGGTCTGTGGAGGGGCCACGTCCTCAGGGCAGAGCTGTGTGCTCGTGGTCTGTGGAGGGGCCACGTCCTCAGGGCAGAGCTGTGTGCACGTGGTCTCTGGAGGGGCCACGTCCTCAGGGCAGAGCTGTGTGCTCGTGGTCTGTGGAGGGGCCACGTCCTCAGGGCAGAGCTGTGTGCTCGTGGTCTGTGGAGGGGCCATGTCCTCAGGGCAGAGCTGTGTGCTCGTGGTCTGTGGAGGGGCCACGTCCTCAGGGCAGAGCTGTGTGCTCGTGGTCTATGGAGGGTTCATGTCCTCAGGACAGCTGTGTGCCCATGGTCCTCTTCCCACCACTCCATACTTCAGTTCCCTGATTCAACAAGCATCCCGTTCCCATCACTCCATACCAACCCCACTTCTTGACAGAGCCAGATTATCCATGCGTGAAGATTCATGAAGTTGTTTCCTTTGGTGCATGAGGCAAATTCTCCTGTGATCCTGAGCTCTGAGTAGTTGGAACACCTTTCTACGCTGAGGTTCTCAGTGACCTCACTTTTGGATTTCGTGAAGCAATGTGTCAGGCAGCGGATGGAGTCATCTGTGTTTGTCTTCATTATCATCCTTGGTCTCCTCCCACTTCATCTCTGCTGATTTAAGGTTTTCTTTTGGGAAAGGTGGCCCTTTAAGATCAGTGGCTTTCTGAAACCCGAAGGGAGAGTACATTTCTATCATCAAGTGAAACCCAACTCACGGAGCCTGACTTAATAGCGTCAAAGCGGATGCAGGTGTGTCGATCACAGAGCAGAAGGACCACTGCTGTGGCCACTTTGTCCTTCAACCCTCTACCCACCTGTCGGATTTTGAGAATCAGAGTGGACTGCAGTTACTTTCTTTGGGAACATGGACTTAGCTGAAACCTCTTACTAAGACGATCTGTCATAAACTTCAAGTTTCCTGCTTAAAGAAAAATAACATAGGAGATGAGGCCATCTGGGGTGAGGGCAGGTGAGGCCAGGCTTGAAGAAAGACTGGGCAAATGTGTGGAGCCGCCATCATGTTTGGAGGGGTTACCAAGAAGCAGACCCCCCCATTGCCAAGAAGGAGTGCCTTTTCAGGCAGGAGGGGCTCCTCTGTGAGTGACAATGAGGGCCAACCCCAGGAGGCACTTCTGGGGCCCACAAAGAGATAAGGCTGGAGATCTGACTTTGGGCCATTAATCCATCCCTCCTGACATTCTGATTCTCCACGATCGGTGATCCTGGCTGGGGACCGCTGCCCCACCTTGCAACTTGGATGCCTTTGAGGTTCGTCTTGAACCCACTTCACGCCTGCAGGTTCCTTCATTCCCTGCCCACAACCTGACTCCTCATTTTACTCTCTATGGGGTAATTTATCATAAGGCTCAAGAAATGAGATGCTCTTTAGGGCACTGACACCCCACCCAGGGAATGTCCCCACCCATGGATGAATGGGAGGCATCAGAATCTCCTGGGGTGTTTTCAGAGCCCCCTACCTCCACCTCTGCCGCCACCCGAGACCTCTCACACTGCCTCTTGAGTGGAAAATCACTGTGGTTAAAAATGCAGGCAGCCACAGCTTGTCTGGAGAGAGGCGTGGTGGGAAAGAGCAACACCTCCAGACACAACATCTTACCCAGGCCCCTCTGGCTGCAGCGCTGGGGCCCCGTGCTCAACACGGCTGTAATGCCAGCTTATTTCCTGGGTGACAGTGAGAAATCAAAGTCCCTTCAGCCAGCACAGGCCTGCTGTGCCCATCGTTAGGTCCCTGGAAAGCAGCAAAATGTGTCACAGGGAAAACACTCTACTGGGGTGCTCAGTCCAGCAGACTTATGTGGAGCCACGGTGCGAGCCCGAGATGTTCGGGAGTCCCTCACACTCCTGTTCCCACCTGACTTAGTATTCCCCTACTAGTCACACCCATGCCCCATGTGTGACAGCAAAGTTGGGAAAGGACTCAGCATCTCACATTTCATGACCCTTAAGCTCCTCAAGCCTCCATCAGTAGCCCTGGGGAAGTAGGAGGCTAAGGGTGCGTTCACACACCGAGTGATTAATTCATTTTATGCATTCTTGCGAGGTGGGTTTAAGGCTCGATGGGAGGTCTTTTCACTTACAGCCCTGTGCTATTATAATGAGTTCATTTAGATTCAATCTGTAAGGTAATGTTGGGGCCTGTAACTGCTACTCAGGCAGAAGCCACTAATTGCTGTAACTATTATTAAAAAGGAAAAGGTTCTAGAGCTGAGTAGATCCTTTCTTTGGAGTGGGTGGACACATTATATAGTCTTGAGACCCCCAGAACTTCGCTTGATGAGAAAGACCCAACAACCCAAGAAAGGACAATTTTACCTAATATTTTTATTCACTTAACAGAAACATTCACTTATCAGATATCACTGAAGTGCAATTTACAGAACTTAGAGGCAAATTAACATATGTAAATTCATATTTTAAGGTTTTGGATTTTTTTTTTACAAATATTACAAATGTACACCCATGGATACAGTATTGCCATTCAATCATGCTTTTTATGTACATACCTTCAATTAGAATTACTATGTATTAAGTTCATTTTGCTTACAAAATGCTGAAAACTGATGGGGCGCACTGGGAGAGATTTTTTTAATGATGCATAAACTGCAGAGTGATAGAAATCTAGGACCTGTTTGAAAAGAGGCACTGGGACCCAGGTGATCTCATCTTCATGTTTAGGGGACACTCATCCCTCCCGTCTCATCTTTAGGATGATGAGCTGGGAAACAAGGTGTTTCTCTCACCAGGGTTTATCTGTCTGTGGTTCCCTGCAGGGGTGATATTGTTTGGTGTGAATCTCTAGAGGCCAACGTGGTGGCTCACAGCCATAATCCCAGCTCTCTGGGAAGCTGAGGCGGGAGGATCACTTGAGGCCAGGGGTTTGAGACCAGCCTGGGCAACGTGGTGAGACCCTGTCTCTACCAAAAATACAAAAATTAGCCAGTCTCATAACCCGGTCTCAAAAAAGTAAATAGCTCTCTAGAGATGTGGCCACCAGTGTTCCTTCTGGTGGGAGGTCAGACTGTGTGGACACATCCAGGAGAGTCCCAAAAGGACTGCAGCGACACCCTGTGCACAAGGCGCCAGGAACCCAGCGGGGCTCCCCCAGCCCCAAGCATGAACCTGCTGCTGGATCCCTGGGGGGATGGTGCCCGAGACGACCTCCTCCTGGGGGGCCACAGCAGCAGAACAAAGGAGCCGGGAGTTTCAGGACACACGACAGCAAGAAAGGGAAGAGGTGGGGAGGAAAGAAGGAGGCGAGAAGGGAAGTAAAAGTGGGTGCTGAGGGCAGAGTGAAAAGAGGGTGGTGCTGGCCGCCTCTTTCCCGGGCGGCATGAGAAGGAAGCTTGCTGTGTCCTCATCCCATCCCTGGTCCCTGCCCCTGTCGCCTCTGTTCCTGCCTCCTCACCTCGCCACCGTCCTTCCTTCACTTTACCAGATTCAGAATTTGTGGGAGAAGTTTGACAGGTGCCACCAGCAGCCAGTGTTTCCAGAAACAGCCCTGCACCTGTGGTGGCGAGGGACCCGGGTGGCAGTGAGGGACCCGGGCGGTGGCAAGGCCCACATTGTGTCCTCCAGCCTCCCGCCTAGCTCCACACGGTGGTGAGTCTGCCCGAGACCCTAAAACACCACTAGCGAGGCAGGGTGGGGGCAGTCTGTCCCTGCCAAGAACTGCCTGGGAGTGCTAACGCCTCTCCTGCAACACAGCTTCTAAATTCCTACTTCCAACCATGAGCTCTGCAAAAACCCCAGGTGAGGACAGGCTTTGGAGTGTGTGGGATTGTGGCCCCCTGATGGGGATTAGGGACTTTGCAGGCTCCCTGAGGGCCGTGGGAAGGGCGTGACGAGAGGTGTCCCGAGGATCCAACCACAGTACATAAAAAGAAGGCTCTCACTCCCTTTTGGTCTCCATCAGAAAGAGACTTACTGTATTTTGGGCCAATTTGTCAGATTATTTTATTAGAATGGCTTCTTAAAAAATGGGCATAGACATTTCCCTAAGTTAAAAATATCTATTTTATGTACGCCTCACGTCTTTGTTTTAAAGATACTATAGACACCTCTTAAAATTTATTATCTAAAAATAGGATTTCATCAAAATACTCGAACTATTCTGGGCATTGCTATCCTATGTATTTACGGTTATGGCTCTCCAGACGTGGTCAACACTGTACCGAATAAAAGCTTGTAACTTGATGGATAAGAAAACCTTCTGTGAACACAACATTAGGTGGAAAAATGGAGCTGTTTGTTTGAAAAGAAACCCAGCTTGGCATTTCTGAGGAACAGGACTCATGGCAAAGTCAGCACAATGTGATAGATATGTACAGTTGTAAAGAGAATCGCAGGAACGGAAGGGAAACCATAGCTGTCGACCCACAAATCCTTTCCTGGGCAAAGATGAAACCCACAGAAACCCTCACTCTGTCCCCTGACATCACACATGGCTGCAGAACCTGGGCTGGAGGTGGATGGCGGAGGCTGCCTGGCCGTGTGGCCGTTCCCTTCACTCTGTCCTGCAAAATGTCTGGAACCCACCAGACACTGACTTGCTGACTACAAACCAGGCAGGAAACCACATTGCTGATCTTCCCGATGGGAAAGCAGTGTGTGTTGTGGAGGCAGATAAAGGTGGTGTTGGTTTTATGAAGACTTTCATAGGGGCCTAAGCAGGTGTGAACACAGAAAATCTGTAGCAAGAGGCAGGGAAGCTGGGGCAGAGATTTCAAGGTGGGCTCTGAGGGGTGGGCCCTGACTTCTTCATCCTCCCTTGTGCTGTGCCCAGCATGTTTTCAGGGTGACAGAAAGTGCCTACTTTCTGTCCTACTCATGTCTTGCCCCTCACTTGGAGAGGGGCACGTGGCTACTCCCAAGACTAAGTCAGCGGTGGAAGCACAGGGAAGACCTGGCCTGAAAGTGAAAGTGGTGCTGGGATGTTCTGACTGGCCCGAGGGCGAAATCCTCAGGCTTCACCACAGCCCTCTATCTCTGCAGAGGTGACTGGCTCTTCCAGGAACACCTGGGCTGTGGGTCTCCTGGGACCCGGCCCCTCCTGGCTGGATCAGGCCCTGCCAGTTGGGAGCAGCCTGCGTGTGGCATGATCTGGTGTGATCTGGCGTGGTGTACAGTCCTAATTTGGCCCCCCATGTGCTTTGTGGAAGGGACGTGCCGTGTCTTCCACCCTCCCTGCTTGACGCCTTTGTTTCCCACCTGCCGCTGGCCTCCCTGCATGTGAGTCACCCCTGCCTGCCTTGGCTGCCTTCTCCTTTCACTGCCCAGGGCCTGGGACCCCTCTCTCCTTACCTGGGGTCCCTTCTGCAGCCCACATTCCCTCTGGGGAAAAGCTCCAGCACCTCAAACTCACTTCTGGCTCACTCTTCTCTCACTATCAACCTTCTCTGAAGAGCTTTAATCTCTCCCTCCATGGAGTCTCCTGTGGATTTAATAAACAAATCCATACAGTTGTTCTAATGGGTAGTGTGGAATTAATGTGTGGCTTTCTGCAGAAGTGGATGTAGATATTTCAGTGCCTGAGACAATATGAATCCCAACCCCGCCGCTGCCGGCCACTGGGTGGGCAAGTGTTTTCCAAGTCTGGTGAATCAGACCCTGCGTCTTGGCTGCTTACAATGCAGGTCGCTCGCTGCAGAACCAGTGTGATTTGGAGCCCCCGGAAGAAAGCATCGTAAGCTTCTCTAGCCAACATCTCAGAGCGAAGCCAGGAGCTGGCTGTGCCCCACATGTTCGGGGAGCGCCTGCATCTATGGCTGCGTGTGCCTGAGCCACCCATCGACTCTCCACGCTCTCAGTTCTCCAAGCTTCATCCTAGCGATGTCAAGCTACCAGAAATTAATCAAAACTGGCCATTTGAGCTTAGCTTTTGCACTGAATTAAGATATCATTTATTTTGTGATTTTTGTAAAACATTAATGAGTTATTTGCAAAAATGTTCTCATATCTTTTGAAACTTTCTCTTGGAGCAGTTATCTACTCCAGTGCCCATTTTCTTTTTTAAAAGAACGGAGACAAATTTGGCCATATTTTAAATCCCAGGAAAAGTTTCTATTTCCATACTAATATCTCTAATTCTTATTGTCTTGTAACAAATAGCTACAACTCAGTTTGTTCCATTTCTGCCTTCTCACTATGATAACTGTAATTGGTAGTGCTTGGGTATGTGCAGCACGATGCATTCCTGCACTCTCTGGGGTGGTCAGCGGGGTCTCTCCGGGAAGGCCACACCCCAGAGGCGGACACTACCATGCTTTGCCGGCCAGCATCACCACAATGAACTTCAGAGATGGATTTTTTTTTAATTGGAGAAATGATAGAGTGGCTACATAGCAGGATGAATATTAGAAATGAGTTCTCGGTGGTGAGATTACAGCAACTGAGGCACATAGATTGCCTAAAGATACTTGGAAAAGAGCCAGACTCCTGTGTGAATACAGCACCTCAACTCTCAGTGATGACGCTGTGAACTAAAGCCCCAGTGTCCCATCTCCACTGTGAGCTGAAGGTTCTCTGGGTTTGGATGGCTGCTCTCAGGGTGACAGAACCCTGCCTCTTACATTTTTTGACAGCTGAACTTTTTAGGGGTCTTGTCCTGCAAGGTGCTGATTGGAGAATCTGAAAGAGCAGAGCTGTAGCCTCTCAAGCTGAAGGTAAAGGTTGTTTTGAATTTTATTTTGTGCTTGCTTTCTAATAAAAATTTAGTTAACAAGTCTCCTTATTACCTGGTAGGGAGGTTACAGGGTAGTAGCTAACCTTCACACAGCTGAGCCTCTGTGGTGCTCAGTATCTGCCAAAGTAAACCAAATGCTGTGACGGGCCAAACAGGCATGACGGCTCTGCAGGGTGCAGGGGGCAGGTGCTTAGAGGGCTTCCCATGTCACAGGTCTTCACTCTGGCTTGTGAGCGCTTTGGGAACTGTTCCTTCTCTTTGCGGGAACGGCTTTCATTTCTCGGGTTCTATTCTAGGTGTTCTTTAATGGTGTGCATCTTCAATCTTTTTTGAAAGGATGTGGAGTAAAAAAAATGAAATGAATAATGAAAATAATCGAGGATTCTTATTGGTTTCTCTGGGGCTGGGTGGGCATGGCTTTTCTTTCTGTTTGTGGCTTATCTTCACGAGCCCCATAAACCTGTGCTAGTGAGACCTGAACATCGCCGAGAGGCGCATACAGGGGTGGGGTGCAGGGACAGGCCGAGGCTCACTCCCGCCTGACACACACTGGCGCCTCCTTCCAAGGCTGCAGCTGAGCCCCCTTCACCTGAATGGAGCCCCTCCCTCGGATGCCACAGGAGAGCCGGCACCAACTCCACAGCGCGTGTGTCCCTCGGTGTAGGGACAGGGTCTGGGGCCAGCTATCTGGGAAGAGGCATGTTCTGAATTCCAGTCTCATTGCTCCTCCACACATTGCACACTCGTGTGTTTCTGGAACACCAAAGAAAAACAAATGCAGGGAACTGGCCGACCTGCCACGTCGCCCCACAGACACGGCCCGTCCCTCCAGCATCTGTCTCAGCTCCAGCGGCCAGGAGCCCACAGCCTAGAGAGTCAGTAGAAACTGCTGCTGCTCCGGAGGCTTCTGCACCCAGATGCCCAGGCCGGCCTTCTGAAAGGCCAGGAACAGCTGCTGTTTCACCTCCTGGTAGGTGTGCGCCCCCAGCTTGGCCTCACAGTACATGGACGGCGTGTCTCCGGGGCTGGGTGTCCGTGTGCTCAGCTGCAGGCAAGGAGAAGAGCTAGTCAGACACCAGCAGAGAAGGAGCTTCCACCAGATGGGTTTTACAAGCCAGACATCAGCGCATGGCCTCGGCCTTTTGCTTTACTTTCTCCCAACATGACAGAGGGCAACCGATACAAAGCCCTCCGGCCATCCCACAGAAACCCAGTCATCAGGGAAAGCTACTTCATCCAAGGTGTAAGTGACCAGTGAGCAGATAAGCTTGACTGCTATTAAAAATATAAACACTGTACAGGGGCCACAAGTGGGGTAAGGGCAGATGGGAACGTGGGAGCTGCGTCATGGCGGGCAGGGAGCAGGTGGGCCAGAGTCCTGCTGGCAGTGAGCAGGAGGGCCATGTGGCCGGGGCACTTCCTCTTTAGGTGTCTGTGGGGTGCCAGGAAAAGCTTTGCAGCAACACAAGACAGAGAACAAAGGCAGTTTGGATCCCCCCACCGCAGGTGGGAGGCCAGGAGAGAGGAGGATGGGGCCGGGGGAGCTCGGAATCCCACCTCGGGTCTTCCTGGGAGGCACTTGCCGGGGGCGGGGTGTCACCTCCAGCATGTGCAATAGGAGAGGGCCCTGTTGCTCATCAAGACAACACTGATGCCTCCCTGACCTTTCAAGTCTCTAGGAGACGGGGACTTGCGAAGGGCCCTTTAGCGGATGGCACAGAGGCTGAGAGCTGAGGAAGATGGAAGTCTCGGCTGAGCTCAGAGCTAATATGTGCGATTTTTAGTGTCCCTTAATTTGGCAAAATGTTTATTTTAGGTGTCAGTATGTCTATCCTGCTCTACCAGTTGACAAGTCGTCAACACAATTATTCCTGCTTGGAGTCATTGCTTGGATTAAAAGTGTGGGAAAACGAGCAAGACATTTTTTATTTGTTGGCTGTTTTTCTGTTATTTGTTCTTTTTGGCTATAGTCTTTATGCTTTGGAAACATACGAATACAGATTTTGATTTGAAATCCAGAAATGTCGCTGTTAATCCTACTTGTGAAGGAGAAAGTTTGCTTCTGATCCTTGATGTCGTGGAAATGCTTGGGCTTTGGGGTTGGGGAGAAATTCTAATCCTCAAATTCATTACCTGTGAAATTTTGGGGAAATTACCTAATTTTTCTGAGTGTTGGTTTCCTGATATCTAAGCTGGGACTAGTATTGACTTCAAGAGTCCCCAGGAGCTGCTCCTGTGACACCCCGAGTGAAGCAGGCGGAGCTTCCACAACTCCGGGCTGGTTTGGGGATGGTGCCTGGGGCAGCAGGGTCTCAGGTCTACAGGAGAAACGCTGCTGACCTAGGCAGCGGGGAAAAGGACACGTCACAGGCGCTGGGATTTGTGTCCTGCCTTTCCCTCCCTGCAGACCAAGTGGTGGCCTCTCCTGAGAGCTTGCTCAGGGCTTGAGCCAGGGTCTGGCTGGGCCCAGTTTCCCTCCAAGGATGGTGCGACCTACCCTGCTGTACAGCCTCGCCCACCGCACAGAGAATACGTGCTTGCAGAGCCGGGATGGGCCCCCACAGCTCCTCCGCCCGGTGGTGGCGTTGATAATCTCCAGGTCTGTGCTGCCCATCACCCAGTTCACACTGAAGGGCGGCGACTTCCCTGGCTGGCGTGTCTCGGCATCACTCACGCCTGTCAGGGGAGATGGGAAAGGCAGGGGTTAATATTCCTGGCCCCACGAGGGGCTCCCTGAGGGCAGCTGCAGGGAAACGGAGCCGTGTTTGAGAGGGAGAAGGTATTCACATGTACATGGTACTTCCTTTTCATCCTCGGGGCTGGTCAGTTCCCACAGTGGTCACGTGTCACCCGCAGGGTGGAGGTTGCAAATTGGGCAAGAACCTGGTGGCCGCCTCAGGTCCACGGTATTGCTGTGCCTGCTTCAACCATCTAATTGAGAAGATTTTAATAGTCTGGTGATCATAAAGCTCGGTCTGTATTCCTGCCCTTTCTAGAAATATTTGTTGAGTGAATTAATGAACAGAGCCACGTGGGAGTGATCTGAGTGTGTGTTTACTGGCCACCTCTGCAGGCCCAGCTCTGTTGGAGGCAAAACACCGAGGCCAGGAAGCAACGCACAGCTCCCTGGCTCCTTCGGGTTTATGGTTTAGTTGATGAGAAAAGCAAAACAATAAAAACAAGACAGAAATGAGTGTAGGATCAATTGATCCACAAGGTGATCCTGAAGCAGCACTAGCTACGGAGTTCTTTACAGTGCAAAGTGGAAATACGGGGCCCCTTGTTGGAAAGTTACGAGGAATTTTGAGATGTGAGCATTAAACTGAGTGTGGGTCCATCTGAGCTCAGGGGTCTCGTGAGCTCCAGGGATTCACATCCATGATGCTGGTCCTATCCAGAGAGGCTGGCCTCTGCAGGAACATCCTTGTCTCAAGTGCATTGCCCCTTGTATGCTGGGATTTTAACCCGGACCACACAGTCCTCTTAGCCTGGCTCACACTGCACGGGGTGGATGAAGAGGTCCCCACGCTGGGGTGGCATCTGCTTTGCAGCCAGTGCAGGTGCACTTTCTGGTTCCCACTGTGGCCCCAGCCCTCACTCCTTGAGGTGCTCCTGTGCTGATCAGGACTTCTGGAGATGCTGCGGGGAGATGTCTGGAAACGCGGGGGGCACCTGCCGAGTCCCTGCCTTGTGATGGCCTGAGGGTTCCAACACATGAGATGTGGGTGCAGCTGGGCCCCCCCCCGCCCAGGTCATTGTCTGTTTCAGTGCCTTCTGAAGGCTGCATTTGGCAGCATGACCTTCGGAGTAGGAAGGGCATCGGAGGACGAAAGGCTGTGGAAGCCAGAGGCAGCACCCAGCAACATAGCCCAAGGCTTCCCATGCCCAAGGCTTCCTCATGGCCCTCGATGATGTGGCCCTCAGACATCCACGGGTAGGGAGGGAGGCACGTGCTGTTTGGCCATCTCTGCTCAGTCTCATAGGAGGACACATGGTCCACACAAAAGTGAGTAGTCAGGGAGTCCAGGCTCTTGCTCATAACAGTGGCGTTGAGACACTGGTCTATGACCCAGGAGCCCATAGACATAGGTCTATGACCTATGACCTGTTGGTGCCTCTGGAACCTCCCACCTCCTGCAGCACCTGCTGGGCCTCCTACCCTACTTGTTCCCCACACCCAGCAGGCAGGCCATCCTCTCCCGCTGGTTCACACCTCCTCACAGGTCAGCTCCACCTCTCCAGCCCTGCCCGCCTTCCCAGCCAGCTGTCCTGAGGTGCTCGGAGGGGTGCGGGGCCCTTGAGCTCTCAGGGGCGCGTCATGCATCACCCAAGATGGCCAGCGCCTGTAGAGAAGAACCTGGCGTCCTGACCAGGGCATTGTGTCCAGGCTACCGAGTGCTGCTCAGGTCCCTGGGAAGCCTCCGGCTATTGGTGGAGATGCCCAGATGTCAGGATTGGTCTGAGAGCAAAGACCTGGGGGCTGGGCATGGTACGAGGGGGCTCTGGCTGTAGCAGACTCCGGGAGGAAGCTGTCCCCATGTCACATGGCAGCACAGCTCATGATGTCTTCCTGGAAGCAGGAGTCATTGAAATTCAGGGGAGACCCACTCACCACGGAGCTGCACAGCCACAGACCCCAGATTCTATGCTGCCCCCAGCTTCACCTACCAGCCTGGCTCTGTGGACAGACCAAGCACATGGCCCATCTGCTGCCCTGGTGACCTTCTGCTGGCCACGGCAGGCAACGTGGGACGCCCAAGTGAATCCTATTCATGTCAGCTCTTCCTTTTCCCTTCAAGTGATTCTTGGTGGCAGCTGCCACCCAGAGAGCAGGAGGGACAATCTGGCCTGTTGACTGCTATGGCTGTCCTACAGGGTAGGGACCGCCTGGGCAGGAGGAGCTAGCTGCCAAGGCCAGGGATGACCAGGCACAGGGAGAGGCAGTCACCGCTCTGATCTGCGCGTACTGGGTGAGGTGGCCGCCTCTCCTCCTCCTCCTCCCGTCCCTCTGGTCTCCATGACAGGACTGACCACGGAGGCACTAAGCTGCAAACTCTGAACTCAGAGGAAAGCCTTGGGGGCCTGAGGTCTACCCAGAACCTCCTGGTCCCTTGTCAGGATGTCCCGGCTCTGGCCCAGGCCCCTCTCACTTCTCTTTGTGGAGGACAGCATGGCCAAGTTGCTGCCAGCCCTGGGCTGGCTGCAGTCTGGTGGGGGGGCTTCCTCCCAATGGTCCTGGCTGCCAGCTATGACGAGGCCCAAACACCACCAGGAAGGTGGCTGTGAGGACTCGGGTATGAACGCAGCACATGCTGCTCCACAAGCAGGAGACGGGAGGAAGAAGTGTCACGGGGCAGCAGGGGAGGCAATGGCAGGGCAGTGTAGGGGATGGGGGAAGGGGCGTGGTGGGACAGTGAGGGAGGAGCTGGTGGGACAGCGGGGGCGGGAGGAAGGAGCATGGCAGGGCTGCAGGGGAGGCGATGGCAGGGCAGCACGGGGGGGAAGGAGCGTGGCAGGGCAGTGAGAACCCAGCATGTGCTGCTCCATGCGCAAGAGACAGGAGGAAGGAGCGTGGCCGGGCTGCAGGGGAGGTGATGGCAGGGCAGCATTTCGGGGAAGGAGCATGGCAGGGCAGCGGGGGAGGAGCTGGTGGTACAGGGGGTAGGGGGAGCAGGAAGAAGGAGCATGGCGGGGCAGCTGAGGAGGTGCTGGCAGGTGGGCCACGGGGTCCCACCTTGCAGGGGGCTTCTCCTCACCAGGGTGTGGTCCTGTTTGTCTGTGTATGCACAGGGAAGTTAGCATATGCTGTAAACAACATCTCAGCTCACCTGTGACAACCCGAATCACACTGCAAATCACTCAATTCTAACTACAACAGCCCCATAAATTACTGTTTAAGGTAGAAAGTGGTGTAAACCCAGGAGCAATCTTCAGTATCCAAGCCTGTTCCTGACCCAGGAGGTGGAGAATGTACCCCTGGGGCCTCTCCCCTTGACTGGGAACTAGGTAGCTAGAGTTCCAGGTGGCTTGAGTTCTGTGGCCCGAGGTCATCTTCCACTTACCTGCTCATGACAGGTGACTTATCTGCTCCAGAAGGTGATGTGAAGATTAGAGCAGACAGATGAGAGTGTCCTGGGAGCACCCAGAGTACTGCTGTTTAAATCTGAAGGAGATTTGAAGGTCAGCTGCAGTTTGTTAGTGCTCTCCAAGTTACATGATCAAAAGTTTCTAGTTAGATCACAGTGAGCGTTTCCAACTTAGTTACGATCACCTCATTGTGTCCAGCGAACAGAGGAACCAACCAACAAGCAGAGGTCAGAATTCCTTTCACGGCGACTGGTTCTGCCCTCTGCAGGGGACGGAGCTTCTAGGAAAGGTCTTAACCCTCTGTTCGCTTGCAAGAGGAAAAACTTCCCAAGGCAACCTGGAAGAATAGCAGTCCTTTTCTTTTTTTCTTTTGCCTTCTTTTTATTTATTTATTTTTTAACTAAACCTTCCATATAAAGATAGCGTTGGGATGTTTCCTGAGTATTCACACTGTCCGTACCGTTTCTGACATCGCTGTAACAACTGCAGCTGATCATGTGAGCCCAAGGAGTGGGAACCACAGCCCAGATCCCTCAAGTCTAATGAGCAAAGAGACACAGAATGCTCATGTCTGCCTAAACTATTAGGCTTTGCCATTAATGAATCTTGCTGTGGACAAATCCCTCATGGTTAGAGGAAGTTTGGTGAGGAGTGTTCTGTGTGGCCAGAGGGAATCAGACGTTGACATCTCCAGAATGGCTGGCAGCCAGGCCTCTTCCCACGATGGGCCCAGCCCTCCTGCGGTGGGTGTCCAGGCTCCAGGAAGGGCCTCTGCTCCTCACGGACATGGAAGGGCTGTGGCCCCATGTCCTTTCACTCTTTCCATTTCCCCACGGCCCTAATCACATGCTCATAGGTAACTCCCCATCCTGGGATGTTTTCTGAGGACGAGCGAGCATCAGGATATCAGGTTACTTCAGGATCTTTCTTTCTTTGTTTTATTTTTGCCTGGCGAGCCACCTGGTTTCTCAGGAACCTGCTCATACATGAATGATCTCACTCACGGTGCACTGATTTGATAATTTTCCACCAATTTCCCAGGTGCTTCACGAAGACATGCAGCGAGTCTTCTGGGAGCTGGTCCAGCTGCTGGCTCACGCGTTCCTGTTGAGCACCTTCCCCACCACAGAGAAGTGGGTTAAAGGATGTCAGGGTTAAACTCTTAACTCAGAGCTGGATTGCACAGCTAACGGTAGTTGTAGATGGAGCCAGACAAGGAGAAGACGCAAGTGCTCAGGCCTAGAAACGAAAGCGTGGCTGAGTTTAACTCCTATGGCTGGAAATAAGAAAATGCGTGAACTCCTGGCTCATTCTTCCTAAAGTGGGCATCGGCTGATTTAAGACAGAGGGTATCTGCAGCTGCAGGTGCATCTGCCCAGGCCCGTACCACCCTGTTCCTGAAGATAGCATGGTAGCAGCACATGCCTAGTGACCCAGTCCACTCAGGACACATGGCACCACCTCCTTTTCCCAGTTCACAGCACTCATTGCCTCTTGGAGCTGATTCAGGGAATCTCCAGCAGTGAAAGGTACCAACAGACCTGTGGAAATCCTAGGATGAAGCCTGTGCAGTCTGCTTCGACGAGAAAAGCGTCTTCCCAAGAAATCATATGAAGGAACCTCAGTGCTGTGGACAAATATGTACACGCACTTGCACAGGGGGTCCTGTGTTTCCCGCTCTGCAGGCCGCCCCGTGAGACCACAATTCCTGCGAAACTCTGGCATCCAGAAGCTACAACAAATCCAGATAAAACGAACCCCATGGCACGCTGGGCACCGTCTGCCTTCAGTGGCTCGCAATGCAGGAACTGTACTGTATATTCTGATGCGGTTTCCACGTGCACAGAAGTCGTACTTTTGCAGGCTCTGTTTGTTTGAGGTGATTGCTGTAACACTTCGTGACACGTGGTGGCTTAAAGCAGCAGAAGTCCGTTGTCTCATAGCTCTGGAGGTCGAAGTCTGAGGGTGCAGGCAGGGCTGTGACCCCTCCAGAGGCTCCGGGGAGACCCTCCTCGCCTCTCCCAGCCTCTGGTAGCTCCCATGCTCCCTGGCTTGTGGCCACTTTGCTCTAGTCTGTGGCTGCATCTTCACTGGCTTCTCTGCACGTGCCAAATCTCCCTACCTCCTCTTCCAAGGACGCAGTGGTTGTAGGCAGGACCACTGAGATAATTCAGATCAACCTCCACCTCATGACCCTCAATTTGCTCACATCTCCAAAGACCCCTCTTTGCAGATAAGGTAATTTACAGGGTCAGGGATTAGGATTTGGCATCATTGGAGGCTGTTATCCAGCCCATGAGGAGCGATAAGTCCGAATTTTGGGACTGGTCTAAGAAGGGAGTGAGAGCTCTTCCTGGAGGAGGGGCAGCCCTGCACACTGGGCCACCCACTCCACGGAACAGGGGATTGCGGGTGACCACAGCTCATGGGTTGCTTCTCGCTGCATCTGTTTTTTTCCCTCTGCGTCTTCAGTGTGTGATGAGGCCCGGCGGAGCTCATGGTACAGGAGGGCAGGGGTCCTGGGGCTGCCGTGCCCCCCGGCTGGGTGTGCAGAGTGACTTTGGGATGCATGGAGTGCCCGGCACCTGCGCCGGCTGAGTGAGGGTCGCCTCAGGTAGGACCTTGGATTTGAAAATTTGGGTAGGAAGCCCAAGGAAGAGTGAGGAAAAAAGTGTTCCTGAAACATGGTGTAGCCTGGCGGTGAGCAGGGTCTGGCCCCACATTTTCTTTAGTAATTGCTCCTGAGCGGCCTTGGCAATAGTGGCCTCACTACCCAAGCAGCCTCTCCCTGAGCTGTCTCTAACAGAACCATTCTCACAGGCGCTTGTTGAACCTGGCACGTAACTCAGGGATGTGTTGGCATTTATTAATTTGCGAACATACCACGCAGCATATGGGCCATTCATCTTTGATAAAGTGTTTAGGGAGCTGTCTTATTTCAGAGCTTATCTGTATGGGAAGAAGCTGGTCTCCTGGACCCTTTGACACAAATATTCTGGCAGGTTGTCTAGTATACAGAGATCAGCTTGATGAGACTGTGCGACTTTCGCCGAAATGCATACAATCCTGTTAACGGTGGGCTCTGGCGGCAGAGCGAGGCTGGACTCACTTCTGTGATGTACCAGCAGTGTGGCCTCTGACAAGCTAATTAACCTACTACTGCCACCACAGCTACCACCTCCGGTTCAACTACCACCGTGATCACCACGACCACCATTGTGGGGTGACTCCACAATTCCTCTATGAAAATGACTTTTACTGTGGCTCACAGAGCCGTGAAAATATGCCTGACTTGAAGAAAATCCTTATTTATCTTTTTAAAAAGGCATTCTGTGAGACATTACAGCATTTCTTTACATAGTGAGCCTACTACATTTACAATGTAGCTCACTTTCCCAAAATTAAATATACACAAAACATTTGAGGAATATAATTTTTACAAGAAGTGAGGCAAGTCTGTGTCGTAGGGTAGCCCTGCATTTAATTTTGCAGAGTGAATGGAATAGCACACATCTGGCCATGCACAGATCATAAGGCTGAGAGAGTCAAAGTGACCTCCTGAATTTTCTATGTGGCCAGACACACTGTGGAGTCTCTCTCTCACACACCCACACACCTTTAATGGAAGTAGAGCTGGTAAATTTAATGTGGACTTATGGATTTGGGGTAACTAACTTCTCAGGCTGTATTAATGCTATTTTATTCATCATCATTAATATTAATGAACATCTTTATAATTGCTGATAAGTTTATAGCTGCTGTCTTGCTTTGATACAGCACATTCCATAAGAAACGTAAAATGTCCTATGGAGCCTGGAGATGGTGTGTTAACTGAGGGTGGACAGCTGGTTCTTTCTGCTGTAAGAGGGTCCTAAAAACTGTGGGTTCCTGCAAGCCAAGGGAATACGAATATTGAAAACACAGAGGCCATGGTGGCTTTGCCCTTGCCTTCCCTAGCTCCTGTGACTGGTTTGAGGCAGAGGTGCTGAGGTGGGGAAGGCAGGCGTCTGCAGGGCGTGGGGCGCGCCACACTGGCTGCACTGTCTGTGAATGTCCCGGGTGTGAATTCTGTGGGGCGGCACTGACGTCCGGGGTGCCAAGGCCTGGGTGCCGTCCTCTCAGGAGCCTTTGTGCCTCCACTCATCTCCAGGGACTTCGTTCCTAGAGGCAGCCAAGGAGTCATGAGGATGAACCACCACTCGGGTCCCCCGAGTTTAAAGCACAGAGGCTTGCAGGATGCTTCAGAAGACGTGACATTTCCATGGCAGAGGAAAGAATCTGCGGTTTTCATTTTTTTAGCTGGATGATGACACGATTTTTGGCTTCTGTAAGGATTGCCATTATTTCAAAAGATATGGAACAAAGGGACTTTGGGGGAATATGGCCTTTTGTTCTTCCAAATTATGTTATTTTTCTGCCTTAGTATTCAAAATGTAGTAACATGCCAGGTTTCAAACTGGATAAGAATGTGGCTGGTTTTATTGCTCTTCAGTCCACATGACCCATTTGAGATCGTTTTTCTTAAGCCCAAATAACACGGGAGTGTGGAGTGAGTCCATCGGACTTAGATTATCTCTGTGTTTGTCTGCAAATGCTATCTCGCCTTTGTTTTTGAAGGATACTTTTTCTTGATATCAGATTGTAAGTTGAGATTGTTTTTCTATTGGCATTTTAAAGATGTCATTTCATTGTTTTTTTTGTCTTCTGAGAATCAATGATCAGTCCGATTTAGCTCTTTTGAAGTGAATTTGTCTTTCATTTCCTGACCGCTCTTAAGACTTTTTTTTTTGGTCTGTTTTTCAGCAATTTAATCACTGAGATGAAAAATTTAAAAAAAAAAATCTTGGCGTATGATGTGCTTTTCAAATCTGCATTTGGATGCTTTTTGTTTGTCTTGATCTTAATGATCATTAATTTCAGAAATTTCTCCTGAATTAAAGAAGTCTGATGCTCCATAGAAGTTTCTTCAACTTAGTGTGACAATATTTTGAAAATCTGGACACATAAAAAATATGGACATAAATGGCCACAGATACTTTGAAAGCCAAAAATAGGGAGCATTGGGCAAAATGTATAAGCTAGTCTTGGTACACATTTCAGTAAGTATCAAACTTCTTTCTGACAAATGGGGTTGCTGTGAAACCCAGGCACCTGAAGGGCTTCTGACGCAGAAGCTGCCCATTTTCACCACCGAAGTGTGTGCTTCGGGAGGCCAGCCTATGCTCGCCCCTATTTCATCACCAGCACCACAGTGCTACTTCATCACATGAACATAACTATGAGTCTTAAACAACTCATGGTTGCAACAATCAGTTCTCTGGGTTCATCTCTCAGATTTCATGTTCATTGCCAAGACCTTGAGGTGGGTTGTAAAAATATCAGTTTTATCCTCAGTGTGGACTAAGAAATTCATCATTGACAAGCCTATCTGTTAAATATGCTGTTAACGCAAACAATGAATTTATCCCACCCAGATTTTTTCCCCTTTGTTGTTTTTTTCTTGATGAAGAGAAATAAAAATTTAGCCTTGATGTTGAAAGCTCGAAGAAGCATATATCCTCAGCTTAGTAGAACAAGGGTGTCAAAATGGCTATTTCATCTCACTTTTTTCTAAAAGGATGATTATTCAGGACATAGATTTTTATTAATTACTATGCCCATCATTTTTTTCATCTTACTGAATTCACTGAGAAAGACCAAGGGCAAACTCCTTTAGGTTATCTGTGGTCAGGAAATAACACAACTTTTGCTGAAGGATTCAGAGTTCAAGACAGCCTCGAAATGAGCTTCTGGTCCTGAAGTTTTGCCATAGGTTCAGACTGGCCAGTGCAGAATTTTTCAAGTATATCCTTCAAGAAGGATACATTACTATGCCTCTGATGACTGTGTGAGCTAGGGTATCTTTTTCAGCTTGGCTGCTTCTTTTTAACTCAGAACTGATTTGGCCGTATCTAAATTGCAAGGCTTCATTCTGCTAATACATAAGCTTCATCTTCTAAGAAAATACTGCAAGCTGACCTTGAGGGAAGCTTCAAGCAAACTTCATTTACTTATTTGAGGCACTTTTTATTATTATCCCTATGCAAGATCTTGCTCTGTCTTTTGGGGCAAGACATTCTGATGATTTCTTTTCAAAATTTGCATGATTGGTTTTTAAATGTCCATCAAGAACAATGTGGGGGCTGCTTAGGGGTTGCATGCCGGCAAGATACCAAGACTTAGGCTGATTTGCATCTCAAAAATAATAAAAACCGGGTTCCCAATAAGCATGTAAATGGAGGCTGAAATATTTAGTCAGTCTGCGCTGGCTGTGGTGTGGCAGGTGCTGTCTGGGCTGCGGAGTGGACAGGTGCCACCCAGGATGGGAAGCAGACAGGTGTCTCGCAGGCTTGGCCATTATTCGTGCTGCGAAACGATGTCAGGGGGATTTGAATTCTCTAATTGTGTTTTCTAAAATTCACTGTGTTCACACTTATGATTGGAAATTCCTGTTTTTATTTATGTTGACATGTTCCCAGATGGACACGTGGTTGAAAATCTGCACTGGGAGACTGGCTGCCGAGGCAGTGACACGCCAGTGCCCAAAGAGGGCAAAACCCGCTCCGTGGACAGTGGCTCGGGAGGACGTGGTCACAGTGTTTAGCAAGCTTGAATATGCCCTTCAGTAGGTGCTGGACACGGGACGAGGATGCCCTAAGGAAAACGCACAGAGAAAGGGCGAGCACACGGGCCACTCGCCGGACAGGTGAGGATCCTCTCAGGTTTACCTCGGAAATCTCAGAACTGCACGGAGGCCTTTGGGGCACCCAATGCGGAACATGTGCATTGAGTTCCAAACCCATGAATCCAGGTCTTTTTGGGGCTCACTCCAGAGCCGTTTTTTCTGTTCAACTGCAGTGAGTAAGGAGTTGTCACCATTTTAAGAAAACAGAGGAAAGAGCAAAAGGAAACAGGAAATCAAGAAAGAGGTTGAATCTGGGTCCAAAGTGATATTTTACCAGAACCACTGCAATGACGGACCATTTAAACAATGCATGGAATTGTGTGGGCTGTGATTGGAAGCACACCGTTAGGCCCTCGCCTGGGGGAGATGATGGCCAGTGTGGGCTGTGATTGGAAGCACACCTTTAGGCCCTCGCCAGGGGGAGATGATGGCCAGTGGGTGTCTTGGTAACGGCGTGGGAGAAGTGGCTCCTCCTCACTTAGCTGCTGCCTCCTCTGGCTAGTCCTGCCTTGCATTGTTAGCTTTTGTGTGATTAGAAACACGAACACCTGCCCTAAGAAACCGCACGACTGGGCGTGGTGGCTCACACCTGTAATCCCAGCACTTCAGGAGGCTGAGGTGGGTGGATTATGAGGTCAAGAGATTGAGACCATCCTGGCGAACATGGTGAAACCCTGTATCTACTAAAAATAGAAAAATTAGCCAGGCATGGTGGTACATGCCTGTGGTCCCAGCTACTCAGAAGGCTGAGGCAGGAGAATTGCTTGAACCTGGGAGGAGGAGGTTGCAGTGAGCTGAGATGGAGCCACTGCACTCCAGCCTGGGTGACAGAGAGACACCCTGTCTCAATAAATAAACACACAAACAACAGAGATAATAACTTTGTCATTGGCTTGTGTGAGAACCGAGCAGCACAGTCAGGTACTTTGCACAGATTATTTCTTCCAGCTCTCACTCCTGCCCCCATCCCCCGAGGCCCTATTTTGCCCCTGATCTTACAATTCAGACCAATTTTAGAATCCCGGGAAGAAATCCTAGGACCAACGACTCTCAGCTGCAGCAGGAAACAGCTCTCTTCTCTTCCTGCTTTCTCCTCCAGGTGATGTGGTTTAAGCCCTGACCCTGCCAAGTCCGTGGCGTTACTCTCCTTCCTGGGGCAGGGGTCTTCTCTGTTCCCCGACATCTCTGCCTGATTCTGCACAGAAAGGCCCTCCCGAGGGTGCTCCCACTCAGCAGGGGCTGACTCCAAGGCCGGTGTTCTGCATGTCCCAGCACCAGGCTGCCAGCGAAGAGGAAACCCTACCCCTTCTAATTGTTCCTGGGAACCTGCCAAGGTGCCTCGCCGTGAAAGGCTGGGAGTCGCCACAGGTCAGTGTATCCCTCACAAAACCCTCCCGAGACCACTCGCTGCTCTTTCTAGGGCACCTAACAGCTGCCAAGGGACTCTTCCTCCTTGTACTTGGCTGCATGCCAGGCAGCCCGGGCAGGCCCCTGGTGACATGGGGAGTAGAGGCTCAGGCAGGCTTGGGTCTCTGAGGACATCTGGGCTGTGGGGAGCCTTGGTGCCGAGCTGGCCCAGCACTCGCGGAGTCACCTTGCAGCCTCTGGAGGGTGCGGAGGGCCCTGGGTCCCAAAGATACACTCCAGCCACGTGGCCCTGGGGTCCCCCTCTCCCTGCCCCTCCTCGCCCACCTGGCTCTTCCTCAGCATTGCCTCCGGTGGGTGGCCAGGAGGGCAGGTGGGGCCTCTCGGATGAACCTAGCACTAGCAATTCTGTTTTGGGGGCTACTTCAGACACTGCTGTGAAAACAGCATCACAACACAACTGTGAATTCATTCCAAGACCTGGGCTATTCTTATATTCAGAGACGCGCTGAAACCTTATGTCATTTTTTCTTTGTAAAATTGTTGGAATTTGCCCATTAAATCTTAAATTGCCACTAGCCAACATGGATGCAATCTCCTGGGGATGGCACCGCTGGGCACACCTGCGTCTGGCCTCGTGGTGGGAAGGGGCTTGAGGGCCCCCAGGACGGGGGTTCTTACCACTGAGGAGAGGCCGGTTGTGCCGGTAGGAGGTGGGCAGCTGGCCAACGTCCTCCATGCGGTGGCTCATGACGCGTGCCAGGTGGCCCGTGTGGTGCAGGCTGCCCACCACGATGCTCTGCAGGTACACAGGCTCCACGAAGTGGGACAGGAGTGCACCCTGCAGTCCCAGGACGTTCCACCTGTGGGGAGAGCCAGTGGTTAGTGGGGCCCACCCTGGAGCCCAGGACATTCCAGCTGTTGGGAGAGCCAGAGGTCAGCAGGGCCTACCCCGGAGCCCAGTGAGCTGGGTCCTTTCTGCCCCTCTGCAGCTTGGTCTTGAGAACCTGTCACACTTCCATTGTGCGGACCTGCGGGGGGCTCGCCGGGGGTGCCCAGACTCAACCCACTGTCGCCTGGGATGGGGATCCAAGGGCCCCTGTGTGCTAACACACACTACTCCCTTTTCTGAAAATGAGTTGTTAGGCAGAGTGGAAGCTGTTATGTTCTCTCTGGGATGTAGAATTAGATGTTTTAAGAAAGATGCTCTGTCCCGAAAGTGAATCTGAAGTTTTCTTTATATTAGCTGGGAAATATTAGAAACTGAATTTATTTTAGTTTAGGGAAAAATACTTTCTACTCCCTTTGTCCTTAGCAGTCAAAATGACCTATTGTGTTGAAATGAAATGACATGAATAAATGACCTTGGTTTGGTCTGGGGATGATTTGGTTTTAGAAGCCCGGATTGGAGATGAACGAGGAGTCCATTTTGTTTGAAATAAATATAGCTCTGGGTGAATGTTTTTGCTTCTTCAAGCAAAAATACCAAGAGCACTGGGATTTTTCCCCATTAAAGTTGGGTGGCAAGAGGTTCCATGTGTGTGTTATTCAAGGCAACATTTTGTGGTTTCCACTCTAATGTACTTAAAATCCCATCTCCACCAGTAGCAAGCATTCTGCAGCTAATTTCTTACATCATTGTTCTTTTCATTAATTAACATTTCTCCACTGTTAGAGCAATTACTGCAGTCCCCGCATGCAGTGCCTTTTTTCATGATTAATAAGCAGTCATTATATTTCCCTTCCTGAAGCAGTCAATTAACACAGAATTCTTTCCATTAATTACCGAATCTACCTGGAGAGTAATCTTCTCGGAGAACCTGTGACACCAATTGCTTTCAAAAGTTCTCTTCAAATTTTATTCCAAAAACATAGGCAATTTAGCCAGCGATATTAATTTGCCTCAGAATCATCTCTGTGAACGAGAAACATCTTTTAATCTCATGCAAGAAAAGGCAGCCATCTGGCTGGTGGGGATTTCGGGGAGCAGCTCTCCCTCCGCAAATGCAGGTCATTAAAGTAATGTGCTCATCTACATAAAACTCAAATGGAATATAAAAGGTAATATTTATATACAAACAATTTAGTCCTACAATTTAAACAGTCATTGGTTTTATGAAACGTTTACTTCAGTCTATCAGATTTGCATAACTTCATTTAAAAAAATATTGTGGTCATTTCTACAAGTCACGGCGTTTCTCCCAGAAAGCAAGGGAGGGGCCGGCTCCTGGATACGTGAGGTTCTCCCTGAGGGAGGAGCTCAGGAGTTCTGAAGGGTAGGATGAGACGAAGGCCACAGACCACCTGCCACTGAGAAGCCTGCATTCCACAGCGTGTCTGCCTGGATCTCCAACAGTGGCTCTTCAGAGTCAATTTTTTCTTTGATGTTCACTGATAAGTCAGAGCATGTCAGCAAAACGTGGGAAAGGAGACTTTTTGTAACAGATTTTCCTTTGGTGTTTTATGTTTTTTTTTTTTTTTTTTTAAATAGAGACATGGTTTTGCTGTATTGCCCAGGTTGGTCTTGAACTCCTGGATTCAAGTGATCCTCCTGCCTCAGCCTCCTTAAGTGCTGGGATTACAAGAGTGAGCCACTGCGCCCAGTCTTTTTTGGTTTGTTTTTTAGACAGGGTCTCATGCTGTCATCCGGGCTGGAGTACGCTGGTACAAGTGGTGCAGTCACAGCTCACTGCAGCCTAATTATTTTGTCTTTTTCATAGAGGCAGAGTCTTGCTATGTTGCCCAGGCTGGTCTCAAACTCCTGGGCTCAATCAATCCACTCACCTTGGCCTCCCACAGTGCTGGGATCATAGGCATGAGTCACCGTGCCCAGCCAATGCCAATGTTTTTGAGGAGTGGTTGAGGGATTTGGCTTGTTCCCTTGAATCTGAGACCAGAGGACAGACCAAAAGCTGGGGGGAAATTCAGCAGCATGGCCCTCCTTAGGGTGTGAGATGCCGGAAAACAAGGCCCCGGAAAGGACCCCGTGTGGGGCCCAGGGCTCTGGTTACATGGTCCTAGTGGGCCTGTTACTTCTCAGACTGTTAGTGCAGTCTTAAAATGTTTTACAAATTAAAGTAGGGAAAGGTATGTTTCCACCATCAGTAACAAAGCACCTTCTTGAAATAAGCCGTGAGTTAAAAAGTAAAATCAGGGTTCCTGGAAGAGGCGCTGTGGTGTTAGAGGTCATTGGAGCACTGACCTCTAGTCATTTGAACAAGACTTCTGGAACGTACATGAGTGTCTGTGATGCCACAGGACTCTGGGAAGACAGAGAACTTCAGTGTCGGGTTCCCACCTGGTAACCTTGACAATAAAGAGGAAATCAGCCTTCTCCTTGCCTGGCTATCAAGAGTTTAAACTTATTCAGCTAACACAATCAATAAAACCAAATGTCTTTCTGAATATGAGCTGGAGAATTTTCAGCATTCAGGATTGAATGGAAAAATACCTCTACTTTTGTTCAAACAGCTGATATTACCCCACTCTTGACAGAGAAAAAAAACCCCGTGTCTAGTTTTCAATACAGATAATCCCTAAATAAATGTATTTTTATCTGTGTGTCAATCACTGAAATACCACAGATAAGTGGGGGGAGATCTTGGAAAAAGGCTGCCATTCTTGAGTCAGGAGTGGCAACCTGCTCACTCAGCCCAGGCTGTGGTCTCCTGGTCACAGTGGAAGGAAAGACGGGTCTGCGGTGGGTTGACGATGCCTCAGGTTGTCCCTGCAGGTGTGCCGGCGTCAGGCAGGGACAGCATCAGGTAGGGAACAGGGACCACCCTTGCCTGTTTGGATGCTTTGGTTTTCCGCTGTGACGTGGCCCTCTGAGGAGATGTAACTCTAAAGGTGTAGATGTAACTTTAGAGTTACATGAAGCCTGCAGCAAAGTCCTCAGCCACCACCTGGCGTGGCTCTTAGGCCTGCTGCTGGATCGTCTGGGAGCTATGAGGACCTCCTGAAGCCTGGCTCCCTCAAGGGTTCTGGTGTGATTGGAGGGTCAGTGCGGCCATCAGCTTTCTCGGTGCCACCCATGTGAGTCTCGTGTGAGCCAGGGTTGAGGACTTCCGCAGCAAAGTGGCAAATTCTGGAGCCAACAGTCAGGTACCATTTAGGTCATGATGCTGGTCAGAGGGGCCTCTCTTGCTGCTCTTATCAACTCTCTTCTCAGTGGTCCTCAAAGTGGGGTGCCTGGGCTAGCCACCCAGCATTACCTGAGAACTTGATAGAAATGTAAATTCCCGGGCTGCACCCCGGAAATGCTGGCTCATGAACTCTGGGGTGGTGCCCGGTGGCGCAAATTCTAAGCAGCAGCTTCCAGGTGGCTCTGAGGCTGCTCAGTTCAAGAACCACCATCTCTGTGTTGGTTCTGTGGTCACAATAGCAATACCTACCTCTAATGGCATTGCAAGAGCACAGGAAATGATTTAATCTCTGGCTGGTTGGGGGGTGACATTTCCCTTCTGTCACACCTCACCCCCAAACCCTACCTCACACCTTCATTCCACATTTTGGCAACACAGGTAATAAGTCCAAGACGTCTCTGCATGAATGCCTCATCCCATTTCCAGGCAACTCAGATCTATTCTGGGGCCTAAGTAAAAGAGAAGCCAGCAGCCTTTTGACTCAGTAACATTACTGCTAGGAATTCACCCAGCATCTGCATTCTCAATGGAACCCCTAATGTACGGATGGGGCCAGTCCTGAAGGGGCTGTTTCTAATTGCAAAGCAGACAAAGCACAGCAAAGCAGAAACTGGAAATCACCTATGTGCGTCTTAGCAGGGAACTGGTTAAATAAAGGATGGTGTGTTCATGATGCCCTGGCCTGCCTGACCACGTATCCCACACCTGTGCCTCTGAGGCAAGCCTTTCTTGCTGGGACGCCCTTGGGGTCAGGAGGCCATAGCTTCCCGACCCGCGCCTTCTGCTGTGTGGAGACTCTGCCCCTCATGGTTCCTGCCAGCCTTGCCCATCACATCATGTGGGATACTTGTGATTGCTCTAAAAACATGAGGCTCTCATGCTGTCCCCTCTTGAGGTCCCTGCCTTGTGTCCAGTGGCATCGTGGCTGCCTCCTGCTGGGCTGCCCCTGCCCCAGACCTTGGGTACCTGTGGTTTAAATCTCCTAGCATTGCTGAGCACGAGTCTGGTGTGCAGAGGGAGGTGCCTGATGTGTAGGAGGAAGCTGATGGATGGGGTGTCCCTTCAGCAGCTGTGTTGTGTTCAGAGGTGGAAACGACGCTAGGCGACAACCCAGCAAGGCTCTCAGTGATCCCACCCCACAGGCTCTTCCTCCATGTGACTGTGACACCCCCAGTGGGGCCTCCACCTGCCTTGAGCTTCTGTGGCTTGGGACATCTCAGCCCAAGGGTTGGGGTGATGCCACGTAGAATGGGTCCCCTGACCTCCCGGGTGCTCCCTCAGGCCTCAGCTGCCTGCCATTCTGCAGACTCCTGAATCCGTGAAGCAGCGCCAGGGCCTTCACCCACCGCAGCTGACCTGCCAGTAAACCTGATCTGCGGCCCGGGGGCTGCCTTGCCGGCACCACGTGGGGAGGAAGTGAGCAACCTCCGAGCTCGCAGGGAGGGCCTGGGAGTACACGAGGCGCTTGCTGTTTCAGGGCCACGTGGTTTTGGGGTGGTTCGCTTCACAGTAGGAGACAACTGAACAGAGCCTGTGGCTCAGCCGGAGTCATCTCTGGGCTGTCTGCAGCTGCCCCGGGAGCTCACACAGGTCAGGCCAAAGGGAAAGGAGTGCAGTGTGCACCCTAGGCTCTGCCGTCCGAATGCTCTTTACTCTGGTTGGCCTCTTGATTCTGGGGACAAAGGACAGGCTTCACTCAGCCCAAGGACCTTTGGTTCCTTCTATGAGGACAGCAGCTGTGAGATGACGCCTGGCGACTCAGGGGCCTCAGCCCTGCGCCTCCGTCTCTGCATCTCTGTGTTGGCTTTGCGGCGTTCATGCTGTCTGGGTCATTGCTGAGCATCCCACGTCCCCACTCAGCTGGTCTCATGCTTTCTCTTGTCCCCCTGATTGGAGTCCCAGTTCTTACGTTGTTGCCAGCTTGTCACCCTTGGCTGTCTCCACAGCATCTGGGCGGCTGCCCCCAGGAACTAGGCTCTGGTCTTGGGAGCCTCGGCCAAGGTCAGTGGTGCTGGTGCAGGAGGGAAGAGCCTCGGAGGCAGAGGGGCTGCTGCTGATTTCATTATTACTTTTTATATTTGATAAGTGTCCGTGAATTGATCACTGCTTTCCTCACTAGAGAGGTTATAAAATGTCACTTAAGGCCGAGTATGGTGGCTCACACCTGTAATCCCAGCACTTTGGGAGGCTGAGGTGGGCAGATCCCTTGAGGTCAGGGGTTTGAGACCAGCCTGGCCAACATGGTGAAACCTGTCTCTGCTAAAAATACAAAAATTAGCCTGGTGTGGTGGCTCATGCCTGTAATCCCAGCTACTCGGGAGGCTAAGGCAGAGAATTGCTTGAACCTGGGAGGCAGAGGCTACAGTGAGCTGAGATTGCACCACTGCACTCCATCCTGGACGACAAGAGCGAGACTTCATCTTGGAAAAAAAAAAAAAAAAGGTCACTTAAAACCTATAATGAAATCACCACACAGTCTATATTATTTAAAAATCAGTAAAAACATTTTTAAACTAGATGGGAAGTAAGAAGTTATGTTACGAAGGATCTACACTTTGAAGTTAGAACCATGAGCAACACTCATTTGACCTCAGTGGTGTTGACAAAAATTTAAAAACGAAGTCCAGCTGGGTGCGGTGGCTCACACCTGTAATCCCAGGACTTTGGGAGGCCGAGGCGGGTGGATCACGAGGTCAAGAGATCGAGACCATGCTGGTCAACATGGTGAAACCCCGTCTCTACTAAAAATCCAAAAAATTAGCTAGGCATGGTGGCGCGTGCCTGTAATCCCAGCTACTCAGGAGGCTGAGGCAGGAGAATTGCCCGAACCCAGGAGGCGGAGGTTGCGGTGAGCCGAGATCGCGCCATTGCACTCCAGCCTGGGTAACAAGAGTGAAGCCAAAAAAAAAACGAAGTCCAGCAGCATAGCATGGAGGAAGGCATCAGGATTGCTCCGTGGCCGCCGGTGGCCAGGAGGAGGTTCAAGAGGCTCTTGTGGGAGAATGCTGAGCAGCCCCTGTCTAGGCAGAGGGAGACAGAGCTCTGCACAGTCTGAAACTTAAGTTCAGAAATCAGCCAGTGCCGTACTCCCCAGAGAGCAGCTGTAATTTCTTACAGTTCATTTTCATGGAGAAAGTTTTAATCTGTTTATCTAATGACACATTGTGATCAATAATCACGCTCAGGTACTTAAAATTAGAAACCATATCTGAGGGAACATTAGTTCCAGAAGATTTAGATGTTTTATATGCCACTCAGCATTTGATTCTTTGAGACAAAAGCTAAAGGCACCTCTGCGGTTTTCCCCATTCTTCCAGGAGCCTGGGGTTTGGCTGTTAGTGAGAGTGGAGACTGACTCCATGGAGCTGGAGGAACAGGCTATGTCTGTGGGCCCTCAGCATGGGACTGTCATGTCTGCCGTGTCCGACCTTCGTCCCACGCAGGGGCAGGGTTTGGTTGCCAGGACGCTCCTCAACCTTAATTTGTGGCTTTGCAGGCCAATCCTCATGGACCCATGAAACAACCCATTTTCTGCAGTTCATTCCGTCTTCCCAGGGCTGTGGTGGTGGTAGGATTCTAGGAATAGAGTTTGCTGTGACTTTATGTGTCCTCTGATTTCCCGAAAACTGACTGGGTGATTTCTCTTGCCCTCCAGTGCCAGCCTCCTAGGGCCGCTGTGGTGACAACCACAGTGGGGTGGCTTCAAACAGTGATGTTCTCCCAGTTCTGGGGGCCAGAGCTCTGAAAGGGCATCCACAGGGTTGTGTTTCCCCTGGGGGCATGTGGCTGCTGCCACCTCCATAGTCCCTGTGTTCTGAGCACCTGCTGTCTCTGAGGTCACAGAAGAGGCCGAGGACACCTGGGCGCATCAGTCCCTGGCCCCAGGACTCATGTGCAGGCAGCGGCCCTGTGCTGCTCAGTAAACTGAGGAGCCCCAGGGACCTGGGACTGTAGAGTGTCCTCTCACGGCCTCCAGTGGACTGCAGAGCCTCAGGGACCTGGGACTCTAGAGTGTCCTCTCACGGCCTCCAGTGGACTGAGGAGCCTTGGGGACCTGGGACTCTAGAGTGTCCTCTCACGGCCTTCAGTGGACTGAAGAGCCTCAGGGACCTGGGACTCTAGAGTGTCCTCTCACGGCCTTCAGTGGACTGAGGAGCCTCGGGGACCTGGGACTCTAGAGTGACCTCTCACAGCCTCCAGTGGACTGAGGAGCCTCGGGGACCTGGGACTCTAGAGTGTCCTCTCACGGCCTGCAGTGGACTGAGGAGCCTCGGGGACCTAAGACTGTAGAGTGTCCTCTCACGGCCTCCAGTGGACTGAGGAGCCTCAGGGACCTGGGACTATAGAGTGTCCTCTCACGGCCTCCAGTGGACTGAGGAGCCTCAGGGACCTGGGACTATAGAGTGTCCTCTCACGGCCTACAGTGGACTGAGGAGCCTCAGGGACCTGGGACTATAGAGTGTCCTCTCACAGCCTAGACCCCTGTGGGGCCGGCTGCATATCAGGCCATTTCCTTGGGGCTGGTTTTGGGGACGAGGCAGCACTCACGGGCTCTGAAAGGGCATCCACAGGGTTGTGCTTCCCCTGGGGGCATGTGGCTGGTGCCACCTCCAGAGTCCCTGTCCTCTGAGCACTTGCTGCCTCTGAGGTCACAGAAGAGGCCAAGGACACCCTGGCCCCAGCACTCATGTGCAGGCTCTAAGTGGTCACATATCATATCAGTGGTGTCTGCTGAGGCCCTGAGATGCAAGGACATAGTTCTGGGCATCACAGGGAGGGCCTGATCTGTTGGGGGAGACAAGACGGCCACAATCCCTTGGCCCAGTAAGAGCAGCTTCTGAGCAGGAGCCTGGCCCTCAGCTTTCTCTGCGGGGCCATCCGGAGCCTGATGAGCTGTCGGTGCGTTGGGCACACACGTAGGCAGGGTAGGTGTCCTGCCCAGCGAACGGGCTCAAGGTATACTCCTGTGGCTCAGTCATGGGTCCCCAGAGACCACAGCGTATTTCAGATGCAGTGAGGGGCATGTGACCTGGCAATAGCCCCAGATCTGTCTGAATGGTGGAGAATATTAGGTGTGGGTCTCAGGAGGCATGAGGCTCTAAAGCCCCACGGGGCACTGACTCCTAGGCAGGACAGAGACAAGCGACTCATTCAGTGACCCCAGAGCAACGCCGAGGCTGTATGAAAAAGAACTGCAACCCCATCAGCATGGGGTGGTCTACCTCCCAGGGAGGCCCTCGGCCCTTAGGAGTGGGGATAGCCGCACCGTCACCCACAGCAACACCCATGCCCACAGATACCCACAACCACATTTGTGCTGTCACCGTGTCACACCCATACCCACACCCATACTGCAACCCATGATCACGCTCACCCCACCCCACACACACCCACACTGTCACCTACACTCACCCACACGCACAGCCTTGCCAACACCCACACCCAAACCCACAGCTCGCCCACACGCCCACAGTCACCCACATTCCCTCAGTTACCCACACTCACACCCACACGCCCACATCCACTTGAGTGCTCTCGAAGGCCCCGGTGCCCTGAACAACTGTGGCCACAGAATGACAGAAGCCCACACTCCGAGGATGGAGGAGACTCAGGTAATGTGTCAGGAAATGTGAAAAGAGTTTTCTCCACAATGTTTTATGACTCATTTTAAACCACTGTAAAAACTTCAAGGATTCTATAACACACTTTCATATTTTGCTGTAAAATGATCTTACCACTGACATTGTGAAATGAAATCTATTGTTATTCATGGAGTTCTGTACCCAGAAGAATGCCTGCTGTTACCTAAGGATATTATTATGCATTATTATTGATCTGAAAGGTGATACCTATGCATTACTTTTGATCTGTAAGTGGGAAGTAATGTCACTGCATTGTTTGTTTAGATCTTTTGATACGAAAGATCATTTTTCATTGATATCAAAGGGAAAGTGCAAAAAGAATTACCAGTTTGTCTAACGGATGCACTTTCTATGCCTTAATTATATATACCATTCTATCCATTTAGTCTCATTACATGAAAGCCACACAAAGTCAGGAATCAAAAGCCAGCCAAAAGTTTCTCTCATGGCTGCCCAAACAGAACTGCGCCTCTTCCTAGAGAAATTTCGAAACGAGGAAGCCGACATGACCGCAGGTTCCCGGCCATGTGTGGGATGACACTCATGCTCTCTAGGAGAGAAAATCCGCAGGTTTCACTGGTTTTAGCACATCCCTAAAATTTATGAGCAGCATGGATACCTTTGCAGCCCTGGCTGAAGTTAGTGGGAGGGCAGAAGGCTCGTGCTTCAGCTCCATGAAGTCGTCGTGTGGCACATCAGAAGGCAGCAGTCTTTTCACATTCCCGTTCTCACGGTGTCATCAATCACGCTGCAATGATTCCTTGTTCACATCGTGGCCATTCTGACAACAGAGTAGGTTTCCTTCATTCACAAGTGCAGTGAGCAGCTCCTGGAAGCTGACCATGTACAGCACTTTGTACCTTGTTGGGGTGTAAAGACGCCTGGTGTGTGGGCCTTGGGTGGATGGAAAGGCGGGGACAGTAGGAGGCAGCCCCTTCCTGCGCTGGGGCTCCCATGGTGTAGATGTCTCCTCAGGATGGGTCTCAGTGGAGCCGTCACAGCCAAGTGAGCCAGCATCAGGGAAACTCAGAGGCAGCACTTGCCAGCCTGGGCCAATGAGGCTCCATCACACTCCCTGCCAGCCCACCTAGGTGTTGCCAATGTGCAATGTTCAAAGCCCTTGTCCCCTCCCGCTGTGGCTTAGTCTCCAATCGCTCCTTTCTACCTCCCTATCTCTTGATATGAATCATTTAATCTATCTATAATCTATCATCTACCAATCATATGATCTATCCAAAATCTATCATCTATTTTTCTTCTATCTCTATCATTTTTGATCTGTATCATCTATCTAATCTATCATTTATTTATCTACATCAACCATTGATCTATTATCTATCATCTATTATCTATAATCTGTATATGACCTATCTGTTATCTCTATCCATCTATCAATCTGCCATCTATCGATCTATCTATGCCTGCCACACACCCACACCCACTGTGCCAGACACTGAATGAATGAGGTGGAATGAGATAGGGTCCCTGCCTGGCAGAAGCTCAGAGTTGGGTGGGAAGGATGGATTCTAAGGAGGATGAGGGCCCCCTTGTTGAGACAGTGGACTCCCAGCAGCCTCAAACATGTTATTTCTCATTTATTTCTAGACGAAAAAGTGGTATGCTGCTAACAATCAGCTCTCAAAAAAAAAAAAAAAACAAAAAACAGCACGCGTGTGTAGCTTCCCAATTTCCATGGTGTAAGCACGATCACTGAGGCCAATTTCAAGGCCCCAGTGTGAGGTCACTGAGCCAGCTTGGGTGGTGATGAACCACCACACATATACGAGGGATGTAAATAATTTCAAGAGCACAGATAACAGCAAAATAATTTAAAGTGGTGAGTTTTGAGTACTGTATATCTGTGGTACTATAACTTAATTAGTTCTAAGTTAATGTAATTTAGTTTTTAATAATGACAACCTACTTTTTTCTTAACTATATATTTTATTGCTTTTTAGGTTTTGGGGTACATGTGAAGAACATGCAAGATTGTTGCAGAGGTACATATATGGCAATGTAGTTTGCTGCCTTCCTCCCCATCACCTATATCTGGCATTTCTCCCCATGTTATTCCTCCCCAACTCCCCACCCCCTGCTGTCCCTCCCCTGGTTCCCCCCTCCACAGACCCCAGTGTGTGATGCTCCACTCCCTGTGTCCATGTGTTCTCATCGTTCAACACCTACCTATGAGTGAGAACATGCGGTGTTTGATTTTCTGTTCTTGTGTCAGTTTGCTGAGAATGATGGTTTCCAGGTTCATCCATTTCCCTACAAAGGACACAAACTCATCGTTTTTTATGGTTGCATAGTATTCCATGGTGTATATGTGCCACATTTTTCCTGTCCAGTCTATCATCGATGGGCATTTGGGTTGATTCCAGGTGTTTGCTATTGTAAACAGTGCTGCAATGAACATTCGTGTGCATGTGTCCTTATAAGAGAATGATTTATAATCCTTTAATGATATATACCCAGTAATGGGATTGCTGGGTCAAATGGAATTTCTAATTCTAGTTCCTTGAGGAATTGCCACACTGTCATGTAAAAGTGTTCGTATTTCTCTACATCCTCTCCAGCATGTCATCTCCAGATGTTTTAATGATCGCCATTCTAACTGATGTGAGATGGTATCTCAATGTAGTTTTGATTTGCATTTCTCTAATGACCAGTGATGATGAGCATTTTTTCCTATGTTTGTTGGCCTCATATATGTCTTCTTTTGTAAAGTGTCTGTTCATATCCTTCGCCCGCTTTTGAATGGGCTTGTTTGTTTTTTCCTTGTAAATCTGTTTTAGTTCTTTGTAGATTCTGGATATTAGCCCTTTGTCAGATGGGTAGATCGCAAAAATTTTTTCCCATTCTGTTGGTTGCTGAGTCACTCTAATGACTGTTTCTTTCTTTCTTTTTTTTTTTTTTGAGACAGAGTTTTACTCGTTACCCAGGCTGGAGTCCAAGGGTGTGATCTCGGCTCACTGCAACCTCTGCCTCCTGGGTTCAGGAAATTTGCCTGCCTCAGCCTCCAGCTGGGATTACAGGCATGTGCCACCATGCCCAGCTAACTTTTTGTATTTTTAGTAGATACGGGGTTTCACCATATTGACCAGGATGGTCTCAATCTCTTGACCTCGTGATTCACCCGCCTTGGCCTCCCAAAGTGCTGGGATTACAGGTGTGAGCCACCGCGCCCAGCCAATGACTGTTTTTTTTGTGTGTGCAGAAGCTCTGGAGTTTGATTAGGTCCCATTTGTCTATTCTGGCTTTTGTTGCCAATGCTTCTGGTGTTTTAGTCATGCAGTCCTTGCCTATGCCTATGTCCTGAATGGTTTTACCTAGATTTTCTTCTAGGGTTTTTATGGTGGTAGGTCTTATGTTTAAATCTTTAATCCATCTGGAGTTAATTTTAGTGTAAGGTGTCAGGAAGGGGTCCAGTTTCTGCTTTCTGCACATGGCTAGCCAGTTTTCCCAACACCATTTATTAAACAGGGAATCGTTTCCCCATTGCTTGTTTTTGTCAGGTTTGTCAAAGATCATATGGCTGTAGATGTGGGGTGTTGCCTCCAAGGCCTCTGTTCTGTTCCATTGGTCTGGGTCTCTGTCTTGGTACCAGTACCATGCTGTTTTGATTACTGTAGCTTTGTAGTATAGTTTGAAGTCAGGTAGCATGATCCCTCCAGCTTTGTTCTTTTTGCTTAGAATTAGCTTGGCTGAGTGAGCTCTCTTTTGGTTCCGTATGAAGTTTAGGGTGGTTTTTTTCCAGTTATGTGAAGGTCATCGGTGGCTTGATGGGGATAGCATTGAATCTGTAAATTACTTTTGGCAGTATGACCACTTTCATGATATTGATTCTTTTAACCATGAGCATGGAATATTTGTATCCTCTCTTATTTCATTGAGCAGTGGTTTGTAGTTCTCCTTGAAGAGGCTCTTTACTTTCTTTGTTAGTTGTATTCCTAGGTATTTTATTCTTCGCAGCAATTGTGAATAGCAGTTCGTTCTTAATTTGGATCTTTTTATGTCTGTTATTGGTGTATAGGAATGCTTGTGATTTCTGCATACTGATTTTATATCCTGAGACTTTGCTGAAGTGGCTTATCAGTTTCAGGAGATTTTGGGCTGAGACGATGGGGTCTTCTAAATATACAATCATATCATCTGCAAATAGAAACAGTTTGATTTCCTCCTTTCCTAATTGAATACCCTTTATTTCTTTATCTTGCCTGATTGTTCTGGCTAGAACTTCCAATACTATATTGAATAGGAGTGGTGAGAGAGGGCATCCTTGTCTAGTGCCAGATTTCAAAGGGAAAGCTTTCAGTTTTTGTCCATTCAGTATGATATTGGCTGTGGGTTTGTCATAAATAGCCTTTATTATTTGGAGATATGTTCCATCAATACCTAGTTTTATGAGAGTTTTAGAATAAAGGCTGTTGAATTTTGTCAGAGGCCTTCTTTGCATCTATTGAGATAATCATGTGGTTTTTGTCTTTGGTTCTGTTTATGTGGTGAATTTATAGACTTGCGTATGTTAAACCAGCCTTGCATCCCTGGGATAAAGCCTACTTGATCATGATGGATAAGCTTTTTGATATTCTGTTGCAATCGGTTTGCCAGTATTTTATTGAAGATTTTTTGCGTCTATGTTCATCATGGATGTTGGCTTGAAATTTTCTTTCCTTGTTGAGTCTCTGCCGGGTTTTGGTATCAGGATGATGTTGGTCTCATAAAATGATTTGGGAAGGATTCCCTCTTTTTGGATTGTTTGGAATAGCTTCAGGAGGAGTGGTACCAGTTCCTCTTTGTATGTCTGGTAGAATCTGGCTGTGAACCCATCTGAACCTGGGCTTTTTTTGGTTGGTAGGCTATTAATTGCTGCCTCAACTTCAGCCCTTGTTATTGGTCTATTCAGAGTTTTGACTTCTTCCTGGTTTAGCCTTGGGAGGATGCAAGTATCCAGGAATTTATCCATTTCTTCCAGGTTTACTGGTTTATGTGCATAGAGTTGTTTGTAGTAATCTCTGATGGTGGTTTGTATGTCTGTGGAATCTGTGGTGATATCCCCTTTATTGTTTTTTATTGGATCTATTTGATTATTCTCTATTTTCTTTTTTATTAATCTGGCTAGTGGTCTATTTTGTTGATCATTTCAAAAAACCAGCTCCTGGACTGATGATTTTTTTTGAAGGGTTTTTTGTGTCTCTATCTCCTTCTGTTCTGCTCTGATGTTAGTTATTTCTTGTCTTCTGCTAGGTTTTGAGTTTTTTTGATCTTGCTCCTCTAGCTCTTTCAATTTTGATGACAAGGGTGTCGATTTTAGATCTTTCCTTGCTTCTCATGTGGGCATTTATTGCTATATATTTTCCTCTAGACACTGCTTTAAATGTGTCCCAGAGATTCTGGTATGTTGTGTCTTCATTCTCGTTGGTTTCGAAGAACATCTTTATATCTGCCTTCATTTGTTTATCCAGTCAAGATTCAAGAGCCAGTTGTTCAGTTTCCATGAAGCTGTGCGGTTCTGAATTAGTTTCTGAATTCTGAGTTCTAACTTGATTGCACAGTGGTCTGAGAGACTATTATGATATCTGTTCTTTTGCATTTGCTGAGAAGTAATTTACTTCTGATTATGTAGTCAATTCTAGAGTAGGTGTGATGTGGTGCTGAGAAGAATGTATATTCTGTGAATTTGGGGTGGAGAGTTCTGTAAGTGTCTATTAGGTTTACTGGGTCCAGGTCTGAGTTCAAGTCCTGGATATCCTTGTTAATTTTTTGTCTCATTGATCTGTCTAATATTGACAGTGGAGCATTAAAGTCTCCCACTACTATTGTGTGGGAGTCTTAAGTCTCTTTGGAAGTCATTAAGAACTTGCTTTATGTATCTGGGTGCTCCTCTATTGGGTGCATATATATTTAGGATGGTTAGCTCTTCTTGTTGCATTGATCCTTTTACCATTATGTAATGTCCTTCTTTGTCTCTTTTGCTCTTTGTTGTCCCCCCCTCCATTAGTACTACTTTTGTTGTATCCCATATGTTTTGGTATGGTGTGTTTTCATTTTCTTTCTTTCTTTATTTTAAGAGAGAAAGAGAAAGGGGGAGAGAGAACAGGAGTCTTGCTCTGTTGCCCAGGCTGGATTACAATCTGAAAATAGGTATTAAAAACCTCTATTATACTGAAAATTGTGCTTAACAATGGAGACAGGAAGGAATAAGGTAAGAAAATAACAATCAAACAGCCAACCAATATTTCATTTAAGTCTGTGAAATGCTATGCAAATGCTGAGGAGTGATTTACTTTCAATTATGTGGTCACTTTCAAAATAGGTGTAATGTGATACTGAGAAAAATGTATGTTCTGTGGACGTGGGGTGAAGAATTCTATAAATATTCACTGAGTTTACTTGTTCCAAGATCTGAGTTCAAATCACAGATGTCCCTGTTAATTTTCTATCTCATTGATCCATCGAATATTAACGATGTGGTGTCAAAGTCTCCCGCTATTATTGTGCAGGACTCAAAGTCTCTTGTCTTATGTATCTGGGTATTCCTATATTGAGTGCATATATATTTATGATCATTGACTCCTGTTGTTGCATTGATCCTTTTACCATTATGTAATGTCTTTGTTTTTTTTTTTAGTCTTTGTTACTAAAGTCTATTTTGTCAGAGATGAAAGTTACAACTCCTGTTTTTTGTTTTCCTCTCCATTTGATTGGTAAGTCTTCCACCAACCCTTTGAGTCTTGGTGTGTCCTTGCTTATGAGATGGTCTGGATACAGTGTACTGATGGGTTTTGACTTTTTATTCAATTTGCCTGTCTGTGTCTTTGATTGGGGCATTTAATCCATTTAAATTTAGGATTAATATTGATATTTGTGAGTTTAATATTGTCTTTTAATGCTAGCTGGCAATTTTTCCCATTATTTAATATAGATTCTTCATTATGGAGATACTCTTTACCTTTTGGTAAGCTTTTGGGATGGCTGATACCAGTTGTTTCTTTCTGTATGTAATGCTTCTTTAAGAAGTTCTTGTAAAGCAGGCCTGGTGGTGATGAAATCTCTGAGTGTTTGCTTGTTTGTGAAAAATTTTATTTTTCCTTCATTTATGAACCTTAGTTTGGCTGGATATGAGATTCTAGGTTGAAAATTATTTTCTTTGAGGATACTGAATATTGACCCCCACTCTCTTCTAGTTTGTAAGGTTTCTGCTGAGAGATCTGCTGTGAGTCTGATAGGCTTCCCTTTATGGGTAACCTGACCTTTCTCTCTAGCTGCCCTTAGAGTTTTCTCCTTTATTTCAACCCTGGTGAATCTAATGATTATGTGTCTTGGGGTTGCTCTACTTGAGGAATATCTTTGTGGTGGTCTCTGTATTACCTGGCATTGAGTATTGTCCTGCCTTACTAGGTTAGGAAAGTTTTCCTGAATAATATCCTGAAGAATATTTTCCAGCTTGGGTTCATTCTCTTCATGACATTCAGGTACACCTATCAAATGTAAACTAGGTCTTTTCACATAGTACCATATTTCTTGGAGACTTTGCTCATTCCATTTAACTCTTTTCTCTCTAGTCTTGCCTTCTCATTTTATTTCATTGAGATGATCTTCAAACTCTGATATCGTTTCTTCTTCTTGGTCACTTCGGCTACTGAAACTTGTGTATGCTTCGTGATGTTCTTGTGTTTTTCAGCTCCATCAATTCATTTATGTTCCTCTCTAAGCTGTCTATTCTCGTTAGCATTTCGTCAGACCGTTTTTCAGGGTTCTTTGTTTACATTCAGAGCTGCTGGGCATGTACGTTTAAGTCTGCTGTAGCAGAACTCATAACCACCTTTTTTTCCCCAGGTGCTCTGTCCTGGGAAGTTAGGGCTTTATTTACAAGTTTGTCATGCTGCTGCCTTTTTTCAAGGATGTCCTGCCCAGTGAGGAGACAGCCTAGTCACAGTCTGCTAGCAGAGGCATTGCTGATCTGCTGTGGGCTCTGCCCAGTTGCTGTGTGAACTTCCCTGCAGTCCTGCTTATAGGGGTATAGTTAGAACTGCTCCAGCAATGGCGACCTGCCTCTGTAATGACAGATTGCCTTGGCAATAGCAGACTGTCTCTGTAGTGGCGGATCACCTCGGTAGTGGTGGACTACCTTGGAAATGGCGCCTGGATTTGTGTGAGTTCTTGTGCAAAGACCTGCTGTGGTGGCTGAAATAGTTGTGCTGGGGGCTCGTGGTGCTTTTTTGCCCAGGAATCTCCTGGCCTGGCTCCCTGTTTCAGTCCTCTTTTTTTCAGTTGAATGGGCTACTCTCCTGGGCGTTCCAGTCGCCAGTTGAAAAGGCACCCGGATTTGTGTGAGATTTTGTGCGGAGAACCACTGTGCCATCTGTGCTTTTCTGCCCGGGAATCTCCTGGCCTGGCTCCCTATATCAGTACCCTTTTTATCAGTTAAATGAGTGACTCTGTCTTCCTGGCCCTCCCATCACCAGCTGAAATGGCGCCTGGAACTGTGTGAATTTTCTGAGTGTAGAGCTGTCATGCCAGCTGAAATAGCCACGCTGGAGACCTGTGGTGCTCCTCCACCCGGGAATCTTCTGGTTAGTGGGCAATAAAAATCCGTTTGTAAATGTGGTAACCACTCACCCTCTGCACGCTTGCTGGGAGCTGCAATCCAGAGCTGCTCCTACTTGGCCCTCTTGGATCCCCTCTGACAACCTATTTTCGCAACTGCCTGCACATCTCATTGTGGCCCTCAGGATGTGGCTGGCTCCTGTGCTGAGCAGAGTGACTCATGTGAGGTCATTTCCGCAGCCAAGTGCATCCTCCCACCACTTCACAGATGGCAACTTCTGCCTGTGCGTCCTCAGACTCACACTCTCCACAGAGTGAGACTTCCATTGACTGCCATTAACTCCCTGACTTAAAATATTTCATGTCTCTTTGTGAATGAGGGTCCTTTATGCTGAATGTTATTTAAGCTGTAGGTTTTTGTTTTTGTACAGGATAGAAAACAGATGAACACATACATTATAAGATGGTCTCTCTGTATAAATAATGCACGGTCCAGATGCTTATGGTTTGGAATTGTTAGTATAACATATGCTTCCACTCAGAAATGGTTCAGTGTGGCTCCATTCTGAAACAGCTCCTGCCTTAGCACTGACACGCTTGTCTTACGCTTGGTCTGATTTTGGCAGATCCACAGGTACCTTCATGCCAAAGGCTGTGTCCCGATGATGCTGCTTGTGCCTGGCCCAGAGGAGAGGCTCTGAGTGGTGGTACTACTTCTGTCATCATCGGGGCCACTGTCGCCCCTCCTCCCCCTCCTGCTCACCAGCAAGGGCCATTGACTCGGCCCCTGAGGACCATCAAGGGCCACTGAATGCACCTTGCCGTGGTATGCACCCTGCAACCGAGCAGCACTGGCGAGCCGTTGGAGGCCAGAGCTCAGATGCAGAAGAAGATGATACCTGGATTGGAACTCCTGCAGTCTCCATTCAGGGAACGGCGCAGGGGCAGGACCCGAGGAGGGAAAGGTGTCAGCATGGAAGGACGGGCACAAGGAGCTCCTCAGGTGAGTGGGGCAGAGATGAAGAGATGAGATGTGCACAGCCAGGGAGGAGGATGAGATGGAAAGGGAAAGACAGAGAGAGACAAAGACAGAGATGAAGAGACAAAGATAGAGGCAGAGAAACAGAGACCAGGACAGAGATAAAGAGACAGCAGGAGAGAGACACAGAAAAGAGGCTGAGAGCTAGAGAAGAAGGGAGAAATGATGGGACGGGGGAAGCAAAATTCTAAGACAGGAGAGAACCTGCCACAGAACCAGAAGGTGGGATTGGCATCGAGGTGCTGGGCCAAGAGCTGGACGCATTTCAAGCCCTGCCCACGCCCCTACTCCCAGGCACCTCCCCGCTTCCACTGTTCCCCTGTCCTGTCCCCAGACTTGGGGGTGAAGCACTCATGAATGAAGAGAACGGACACACTCCTTTCTATCCTTTGGGTACTTAGGATTAATTCCTGGACAAATTTGGGAGTTCTCATTCCAGCTGCTCAGAGCCACAGGTGTGACAATTTCCACAAACTTTTATTCTCTTTTCAAAAGGAGTCCCGAATCGCCCCCAAATCCCGGACACTGAAAACCCCTGGCTGCAAAACAGTGTGGACATTTGTTTTTCAAGGAGATTTTGTTAGGAAACCCTGCCCCTTGGGTGGCCGCTGAGCGCCCAGACCTGCCAGCATTGCTTGGGTTTTTTACCGTGTTTAGTCCATTGTCTGGATGGTTAAGATCCCAGGGACAGCAGAGTTTCAATTCTGTAGTGTTAATTTACTTCGTTTTTCTGGGGCCTCACAGAGTGAATTTAGAAACCCAATGCTATTTTAGGGTACCAAGAGAATTTCAGTTGAGGTGAAAATGACTGCTTTTCCCAGTCATGCAGAGATGAGAACAAGGAGGAGGAATACATCTTCTCCTGAAAAGTGAGCTATTTGTCGACAGTGGCCTGTTCCCTTTGATGCAGAAACTACGGCTTTGGTCCCACTGTCATTAGCCGACCCTGTGGCTCCCTGGCCAGGAGTGCCTAGAGCCTGGAACGGGCACCATTTTCCCACAGCCCTCCCATGATTTCCATGAGGAAATGGAACCACTGCTCTCAGGGGCTGGGGTTCCATCTGTCTGCAGCCCCCAAAGCCACTTGGTATGGATCCAGGGGTTGGGGTGGGGGGCAGAGCTGTAGGGGCCTGTGGGGTCTGCAGCATCTGTGGGGGCTGGGGCAGGTATGGCGGGGGCAGGGCACAAGTGCGGCTCAGGTCTCCCCTCTCCTCCTGCGCTCTGTGCCCCCTTATGTCACCTCTGCGACCTCCAGCCCCTTGGGTTTTCAGGCCAGGCCAGGGCCCAGTGCTCAGGCTTAGGATAGAACAGTTGTTCTGTGATCTGCTGGGCACATGGGAAGTGCCTTTCCTGCCTGGGCACTGGAGTCACACACAGACTGCCCTCATGGGGCACCCATCTGTTGGGGAACCCGGGATAGCTGTGTTTTGACGAGGGTTACAGGGGCCAGCTGTGCCTACCCTCTCCTTTCTCTCCCCAGATCCTGCTGGGTGGTCAGGAGCCCAGGGCCCCATGGGCACAAAAGGCTCCATGCAAGGGTCGGAGGTGATGCTCCATGCCCTCCATGGGCCTCAGGCTTCCTACTCCTCCCCCCTCCTCAGCCTCCTTTCTTCACATTCTGGGGACCACCCTGTGCACCTCCTGCCTGGTTTAACCACAGAAACGTCCTTACAGAGGGTCTCAGGGGCCTCAGACTAGTTAGGAGTTGGGGATGGCACAGGCCCAGAGACCCCCGTTTGCATGGAATTTACTGCTTTCACCCCATTTGCAGATGACAAAGTAACTGGACAACCAGCGTGTTCAGAGGGTGTTTGGAGTCACTTTTAACCCAGACTTCCGTGACAACATTGTAATTAGGTTTTTTATCAGGCTCAGGGGAAGTTCACAGCTCTTTCAGGGAAACTCGTGCTGGCCCCACACCACCCCTATTTTCCAGACCAATGTGACAGAAATGCCCTGCAGTGGGAATGGCACTCTCAGGGTATCACACCAATGTGGGGGAGGTCTTGGGGCATCAGACCAAGGTAGAGGCAGATCTCAGGCAGAGGGGTTTGGGAGCTCGGGGCGTGGCAGGGACTGGAGGAGCTGGGAGGGAGGTGGGTGCCCGTTCTACACTTCCCTGCTCCTCTGCACAGAGCTTGGCTAAGGCAGCTCATGCTGAGACCTCCAGAGGCTCTGAAAACTCCTTCCAAGAAGACAATGTCTCGGGTGGTGGGGGAGTGTTCCATGCGGCTGACATGAAGGCCTGTGGCCATCCTGGGATGTTAAGTTAGGTTTTGGTGGAAAATGCAGCTGGGAAGGGAAGCCCTGGCTTTTTGTTGGCCTTCGGCCACCCTGACTGGCTGGCAGCCTCAGGCCAGGGCTGTTTGCCTCTGTAATGGCAGCCTGGGGTGGCCAGGCCTTGCTCACTTGGGGCACCTTGGGCTCAGGGTGTGGGACTGAATACGTGGAATGGCTGTAGAGTCCACGGCTCAGGCACAGGGCCCTGACCACATGCGCCCTCCATCTCTGACCTTGCCAGAAGTGGGACTCAGGGAGCCGGGGGCTTAGCGCTCCCCACCAGCTGCAGCTGACATCTGCGAGAGGAAGCTGTGGGCCTCACCTGGCGATCTTGTCAGTGCAGGACATGGTAACCAGCTGCTCCCCCAGCAGGATGCCGTCCCAGGTCTGCACTGCACTGGAACCACGCACGGGGACCGTCCCTTCCCCGGACTCTATCTTGGTGCGCAGGTGCCCGCGGAACTTCCTGACCAGGTGTTTGCTGCTGTGCACTAGGAGAGAAGAGGGCGGAGAGGTGAGAAGAGGCAAGCTGCCTTGGTTTTGAGGGGTGGGAGGGGAGGAAGGGCTGCCATGGAGGTTAAAGTCTCCCATGCTATGGCTGGGCATGTGGCATGGGGAAGGGGCTTCAGAAGCAAGTGCAGTGTGGGGGTAGTCTCCAGAGCCACAGCATCTGGCCTTGGCTGGGAGTAAAACCCCCAGCTTCATGGGCCAAACTCTCTTCTCACCAAACCCACCTCTGCTGGGTAAGCACAGCTGCAGCCTAAACCATGCTCAGGTGAGCACGTGCCATTGCCTCCCCAGGTACTTCATTACAGACACAGTCTTGAACCCACAGTTGGATGTGTAGTTTTCAGGTGTCATGAAATACCATTTTCTCACTTTTGCAGCCATTAAAAATGTAAATATGCTCAGCAGGAGGGCTGTGCAGAAATAGGTGATGAGTGGAGCTTGGCTCTTATCCTTGTCTAGATGTCAATTCTGGCCCCATGGGAACCTGGAGAAAGTTTCTCAGAGTCTCTGTGACCTGGTTCTTCCTCTAACTAAGGGGTAATAGGAGTGCTGGTTGCCCCAGCTCTGAGGAGTCAGTGAGGCAGCTCCTGTGAAAGTGCAGGGATAGCCTGGGTGCCTCTGCTCTTGCTGCATCCCCCGATTACTGAGGGTCTCTACAGGCAGGAGCTCTGCCAGGCTCAGAAGTGACGGAGCCTCTGGTGGGTCTCTGTGGGCCCCTCAGGTGTTCTGTGTTCTACTTTCCATGGTCCCCTCAAAACCCCTGCCCCCTGCACCCCATACCCCACAGTTACTTGGAGAATGAGCAGGAGCAAGAGGAAGATTAAAAGCTTAAATGTTTTTTTCTTTCTTTGACAAATTTTTTTTTTTTAGATGGAGTCTCGCTTTGTCACCCTAGCTGGAATGCAGTGTGGCATGATCTCGGCTCATGCAACTCCTGCCTCGCAGATTTAAATGATTCTGCCACCTCAGCCTCCTGAGTAGCTGGGATTACAGGCCCCTGCCACCATGCCCAGCTAATTTTTGTATTTTCAGTAGTGACAGGTTTTTGCCATGTTGGCTAGGCTGGTCTTGAACTCCTGACCTCAGGTGATCCACCCGCCTCAGCCTCACAAAAGTGCTGGGATTGTAAGGGTAAGCCACAGCACCCAGCCAAAATTGTGTATGTTAAATCTGGATTATATTGTAATATAGAAATGGTCCTGAGGAGGGATCCAAGATGGCTGATTAGGAGCAGCTCTGGATTGCAGCTCCCAGCAAGAGCACAGAGGGTAAGTGGACACTGCATTTCCAGATGGATTTTTATTGCTCACAGACCAGGAGATTCCTGGGTGGAGGAGCACCCTGGGTCACCAGCACGGCTGTTTTGGCTGGCATGGCAGGTCGCCGCACAAAAAACTCACACGGGTCCAGGTGCCATTTCAGCTGGCGACTGCAGTGCCTGGTTGACAGAGTCGCCCGTTCAATTGATAAAAAGGGGACTGAAACAGGGAGCCAGGCCAGGAGATTCCAGGGTGAAAAAGTGCCAAGAATCTCCAGCACGGCTGTTTGAGCTGGCGCAGTGGGTCTCTGCACAGGAAATCACACAGATCTGGGCACCTTTTCAACAGGTGACGGGAAACACCTGGGAGACAGAGTCGCCCATTCACCTGAAAAAAGGGGACCGAAACAGGGAGCCAGGCCAGGAGATTCCAGGGTGAAAAAGTGCCAAGAATCTCCAGCACGGCTGTTTGAGCTGGCGCAGTGGGTCTCTGCACAGGAAATCACACAGATCTGGGCACCTTTTCAACAGGTGACGGGAAACACCTGGGAGACAGAGTCGCCCATTCACCTGAAAAAAGGGGACCGAAACAGGGAGCCAGGCCAGGAGATTCCAGGGTGAAAAAGTGCCAAGAATCTCCAGCACGGCTGTTTTGGCTGGCATGGCAGGTCGCCGCACAAAAAAACTCACACGGGTCCAGGTGCCATTTCAGCTGGCGACTGCAGTGCCTGGTTGACAGAGTCGCCCGTTCAATTGATAAAAAGGGGACTGAAACAGGGAGCCAGGCCAGGAGATTCCAGGGTGAAAAAGTGCCAAGAATCTCCAGCACGGCTGTTTGAGCTGGCGCAGTGGGTCTCTGCACAGGAAATCACACAGATCTGGGCACCTTTTCAACAGGTGACGGGAAACACCTGGGAGACAGAGTCGCCCATTCACCTGAAAAAAGGGGACCGAAACAGGGAGCCAGGCCAGGAGATTCCAGGGTGAAAAAGTGCCAAGAATCTCCAGCACGGCTGTTTGAGCTGGCGCAGTGGGTCTCTGCACAGGAAATCACACAGATCTGGGCACCTTTTCAACAGGTGACGGGAAACACCTGGGAGACAGAGTCGCCCATTCACCTGAAAAAAGGGGACCGAAACAGGGAGCCAGGCCAGGAGATTCCAGGGTGAAAAAGTGCCAAGAATCTCCAGCACGGCTGTTTTGGCTGGCATGGCAGGTCGCCGCACAAAAAACTCACACGGGTCCAGGTGCCATTTCAGCTGGCGACTGCAGTGCCTGGTTGACAGAGTCGCCCGTTCAATTGATAAAAAGGGGACTGAAACAGGGAGCCAGGCCAGGAGATTCCAGGGTGAAAAAGTGCCAAGAATCTCCAGCATGGCTGTTTGAGCTGGCGCAGTGGGTCTCTGCACAGGAAATCACACAGATCTGGGCACCTTTTCAACAGGTGACGGGAAACACCTGGGAGACAGAGTCGCCCATTCACCTGAAAAAAGGGGACCGAAACAGGGAGCCAGGCCAGGAGATTCCCAAGTGGAAAACTGCCACAAGTGTCCAGCACAGCCAGTGCAGTGGGTCTTTGTACAAAATCTCACACAAATCCAGGTACCTTTTGAACCGGTAACTGGAACACCTGGGAGACAGAGTCGCCCGTTCAACTGAAACAAAAGGGGACTGAAACAGAGGCAGGCCAGGAGATTCCTGGGTGAAAAAGCGCCATGAGCCCCCAGTGTGGCTGTTTCAGCTGGTGCAGCTCTGCACAAGAAATCACACAAATCCCGGTGCCATTTCAACTGGTGACTGGAACACCTGGGAGAGTCACCCATTCAACTTAAAAAAAAAAAAAAAAAAAAAAAAAAAGGATTGGAGGCAGGGAGCCAGGTCATCAGGCTCAGCCGATCCCACCCCCCACAAAGACCAGCAATCTGAAACACTCTGGATTGTGAGTTTCACAGCAAGCACAGCTGAACCTGGGACAGTCTAGCTCTGTGGGGGAGGGGCATCTGCCATTACAGAGGCAGCTTGCCATTGCTGATGCAGTCTGTCATTATAGAGTCCGCCATTGCTGAGGCAGTTCTAACTATACCCCTATAAACAGGACTGCAGGGAAATTCACATGGCAGCTGGGCAGAGCCCACAGCAGATCAGCAATGCCTCTGTGGCAGACTGTGACTAGGCTGCCTCCTCACTGGGCACGACAGACCTGAAAAAAGGCAGCAGCACAACAAACTTACAAATAAAGCCCTACCATCCCAGGAGACAGCACCTGGGGGAAAAAAGGCGATTATGAGTTCTGCTGCAGCAGACTTAAATGTACCTGCCCAGCAACTCTTAATGGAACAATGGAGCTCACAGCTCAGCACTTAAGCTTTTATAAAGGACAGACTGTCTCCTCAAGCAGCTCTCCGACCCCCATATATCCAAAGAGTCACCTGATAAAAGAGAGCTCAGACTGACATCTGGCAGGTATCCTTCTGGGACAAAGATAGCAGCAGAAGAAACTGGCAGCAACCCTTACTGTTCTGCAGCTGCTGCAGGGAATCCCCAGGCAAGCAGGGTCTGGAGTGGACCTCAGCAGTCCTACAGCAGAGGGGCCTGTTAGAAGGAAAACTAAGAAACAGAAATAACTTCATCATCAACAAACTGGATATCCACAGGATTTATTTACCTGTGGTCTTTGTAGTTGGTGACTTTCAGAGACCCCATCTGAAAGTCACTAACTACAAAGACCACAGGTAAATAAATCCACAAAGATGGAAAGAAACCAGCGCAAAAAGGATGAAAACACCCAAAACCAGAATGCCTCTCCACCTCAAAGGGATCACAACTCCTCACCAGCAAGGGATCAAGGCTGGATGGAGAATGAGTCTGATGAATTGACAGAAACAGGCTTCAGAAGGTGGGAAATAAGAAACTCCTCTGAGCTAAAAGAACATTTTCTAACCCAATGCAAAGAAACTAAGGACGTTGAAAAAAGGTCTGACAAAATGCTAAGAGAATAAACAGCTTAGAGAGGAACATAAATGAATTGATGGAGCTGAAAAATACAACATGAGAACATTGTGAAGCATACACAAGTTTCAGTAGCCAAATTGACCAAGCAGAAGAAAGGATATCAGAGTTTGAAGATCATCTCAATGAAATAAAACAAGAAGGCAAGACTAGAGAAAAAAAGAGTTAAATGGAATGAGCAAAGTCTCCAAGAAATATGGGACTATGTGAAAAGACCTAGTTTACGTTTGATAGGTGTGCCTGAATGTCATGAAGAGAATGAATCCAAGCTGGAAAATACTCTTCAGGATATTATTCAGGAAAACTTTCCTAACCTAGTAAGGCAGGACAATACTCAACTCCAGGTAATATAGAGAACACCACAAAGATATTCCTCAAGTAGAGCAACCCCAAGACACATAATCATTAGATTCACAAGAGTTGAAATAAAAGAGAAAATTCTAAGGGCAACTAGAGAGAAAGGTCAGGCTACCCATAAAGGGAAGCCTATCAGACCCACAGCAGATCTCTCAGTAGAAACCTTACAAACTAGAAGAGAGGGGGGGTCAATATTGAGTAACCTCAAAGAAAAGAATTTTCAACCTAGAATCTCATATCCAGCCAAACTAAGGTTCATAAATGAAGGAAAAATAAAATTTTTCACAAATAAGCAAGCACTCAGAGATTTCATCACCACCAGGCCTGCTTTACAAGAGCTTCTTAAAGAAGCATTACATACAGAAACAACCAGTATCAGTCATCCCAAAAGCATACCAAAAGGTAAAGAGTATCTCCATAATGAAGAATCTATATTAAATAATGGGAAAAATTGCCAGCTAGCATTACAAGACAATATTAAACTCACAAATATCAATATTAATCCTAAATTTAAATGGATTAAATGCCCCAATCAAAGACACAGACAGGCAAATTGAATAAAACGTCAAAACCCATCAGTGCACTGTATCCAGATCCATCTCATAAGCAAGGACACACAAAGACTCAAAACAGAGGATTGGTGGAAGACTTACCAATAAAATGGAGAGGAAAAAAACAAAACAAAACAGGAGTTGTAACTTTCATCTCTGACAAAATACACATTAATAGTAACAAAGACTAAAAGAAACAAAGAAGGACATTACATAATGGTAAAAGGATCAATGCAACAACAGGAGTCAATGATCATAAATATATATGCACTCAATATAGGAATACCCAGATACATAAGACAAGAGACTTTGAGTCCTGCACAATAATAGTGGGAGACTTTGACACCACATCGTTAATATTCGATGGATCAACGAGATAGAAAAACAGGGACATCTATGATTAGAACTCAGAACTGGAACAAGTAAACTCAGTGAATATTTGTAGAATTCTTCACCCCAGGTTCACAGAACATACATTTTTCTCAGTATCACATTACACCTATTTTGAAAGTGACCACATAATTGAAAGTAAATCACTCCTCAGCATTTGCATAGCATTTCACAGACTTAAATGAAATATTGGTTGGCTGTTTGTTTGTTATTTTCTTACCTTATTCCTTCCCGTCTCCACTGTTAAGCATAATTATTGGTATAAAATAGGTTTTTAATACCTATTTTCAGATTGTAATCCAGCCTGGGCAATAGAGCAAGACTCCTGTTCTCTCTCCCCCTTTCTCTCTCTTAAAAAAAAAAAAAAGAAAGAAAATGAAAACACACCATACCAAAACATGGGATACAACAAAAGTAGTACTAATGGGGGGGGACAACAAAGATCAAAAGAGACAAAGAAGGACATTACATAATGGTAAAAGGATCAATGCAACAAGAAGAGCTAACCATCCTAAATATATATGCACCCAATAGAGGAGCACCCAGATACATAAAGCAAGTTCTTAATGACTTCCAAAGAGACTTAAGACTCCCACACAATAGTAGTGGGAGACTTTTAACACTCCACTGTCAATATTAGACAGATCAACGAGATAAAAAATTAACAAGAATATCCAGGACTTGAACTCAGACCTGGACCCAGCAAACCTAATAGACATTTACAGAACTCTCCACCCCAAATTCACAGAATATACATTCTTCTCAGCACCACATCACACCTACTCTAGAATTGACCACATAATCAGAAATAAATCACTCCTCAGCAAATGCAAGAACAGAAATTATAACAGTCTTTCAGACCACAGTGCAATCAAGTTAGAACTCAGAATTCAGAAACTAATTTAGAATTGCACAGCTTCATGGAAACTGAACAACTGGCTCTTGAATCTTGACTGGATAAACAAAGAAATGAAGGCAGATATAAAGATGTCTTCGAAACCAATGAGAATGAAGACACACCGCACCAGAATCTCTGGGACACATTTAAAGCAGTGTCTAGAGGAAAACATATAGCAATAAATGACCACATGAGAAGCAAGGAAAGATCTAAAATTGACACCCTTGTCATCAAAATTGAAAGAGCTAGAGGAGCAAGATCAAAAAAACTCAAAACCTAGCAGAAGACAAGAAATAACTAAAATCAGAGGAGATAGAGAAACAAAAAACCCTTCAAAAAAAAAATCATCAGTCCAGGAGCTGGTTTTTTGAAAGGATCAACAAAATAGACCACTAGCCAGATTAATAAAAAAGAAAATAGAGAATAATCAAATAGATCCAATAAAAAACAATAAAGGGGATATCACCACAGATTCCACAGACATACAAACCACCATCAGAGATTACTACAAACAACTCTATGCACATAAACCAGTAAACCTGGAAGAAATGGATAAATTCCTGGATACTTGCATCCTCCCAAGCCTAAACCAGGAAGAAGAAGAAACCCTGAATAGACCCATAACAAGGGCTGAAGTTGAGGCAGCAATTAATAGCCTATCAACCAAAAAAAGCCCAGGTTCAGATGGGTTCACAGCCAGATTCTACCAGACATACAAAGAGGAGCTGGTACCACTCCTCCTGAAGCTATTCCAAACAATCCAAAAAGAGGGAATCCTTCCGAAATCATTTTATGAGACCAACATCATCCTGATACCAAAACCCAGCAGAGACTCAACAAGAAAAGAAAACTTGAGGCTAATATCCATGATGAACATAGACACAAAAAATCTTCAGTAAAATACTGGCAAACCAATTGCAACAGCACATCAAAAAGCTTATCCATCATGATCAAGTAGGCTTCATCCCAGGGATGCAAGGCTGGTTCAACATACGCAAGTCTATAAATACACCACATAAACAGAACCAAAGACAAAAACCACATGATTATCTCAATAGATGCAAAGTCTCAGGATATAAAATCAGTATGCAGAAATCACAAGCATTCCTATACACCAAAGTTTTTAGTATAAAGGCCTCTGACAAAATTCAACAGCCTTTATACTAAAAACTCTTATAAAACTAGGCATTGATGGAACATATCTCAAAATAACAAAGGCTATTTATGACAGACCCACAGCCAATATCACACTGAATGGACAAAATCTGGAAACTTTCCCTTTGAAATCTGGCACTAGACAAGGATGCCCTCTCTCACCACTCGTATTCAATATAGTATTGGAAGTTCTAGCCAGAACAATCAGGCAAGAAAAAGAAATAAAGGGTATTCAATTAGGAAAGAAGGAAATCAAACTGTTTCTATTTGCAGATGACATGATTGTATATTTAGAAGACCCCATCGTCTCAGCCCAAAATCTCCTGAAACTGATAAGCCACTTCAGCAAAGTCTCAGGATATAAAATCAGTATGCAGAAATCACAAGCATTCCTATACACCAATAACAGACATAAAAAGATCCAAATTAAGAACGAACTGCCATTCACAATTGCTACAAAGAGAATAAAACACCTAGGAATACAACTAACAAAGAATGTAAAGGACCTCTTCAAGGAGAACCGATTGCTCAATGAAACAAACCACTGCTCAACGAAATAAGAGAGGACATAAACAGATGGAGAAACATTCCATGCTCATGGTTAGAAGAATCAATATCATGAAAATGGCCATACTGCCCAAAGTAATTTACAGATTTGATGCTATCCCCATCAAGCCACCGATGACCTCCTTCACAGAACTGGAATAAACTACCCTAAACTTCATATGGAACCAAAAGAGAGCTCACACAGCCAAGCTAATTCTAAGCAAAAAGAACAAAGCTGGAGGGATCACACTACCTGACTTCAAACTATACTACAAAGCTACAGTAATCAAAACAGCATGGTACAGGTACCAAAACAGAGATACACAACAATGGAACAGAACAGAGGCCTTGGAGGCAATACCACACATCTATAGCCATATGATCTTTGACAAACCTGACAAAAACAAGCAATGGGGAAACAATTCCCTGTTTAATAAATGGTGTTGGGAAAACTGGATAGCCATGTGCAGAAAGCAGAAACTGGACCCCTTCCTGACACCTTACACTAAAATTAACTCCAGATGGATTAAAGACTTAAACATAAGACCTACCACCATAAAAACCCTAGAAGAAAATCTAGGTAAAACCATTCAGGACATAGGCATAGGCAAGGACTTCATGACTAAAACACCAAAAGTATTGGCAACAAAAGCCAAATAGACAAATGGGACCTAATCAAACTCCAGAGCTTCTGCACAGCAAAAGAAACAGTCATTAGAGTGACTCGGCAACCAACAGAATGGGAAAAAATTTTTGCAATCTACCCATCTGACAAAGGGCTAATATCCACAATCTACAAAGAACTAGAACAGATTTACAAGGAAAAAACAAGCCCATTCAAAAGTGAGCAAAGGATATGAATAGACACTTTACAAAAGAAGACATATATGAGGCCACGAAACATAGGAAAAAATGCTCATCATCTCTGGTCATTAGAGAAATGCAAATCAAAACTGCATTGAGATACCATCTCACATCAGTTAGAATGGCGATCATTAAAAAATCTGGAGACATGCTGGAGAGGATGTGGAGAAATAGGAACACTTTTACACTGTTCGTGGGAGTGTAAATTAGTTTAACCACTGTGGAAGACAGTGTGGTGAGTCCTCAAAGATCTAGAAATAGAAATTCCATTTGACCCAGCAATCCCATTACTGGGTATATACCCAAAGGATTATAAATCGTTCTACTATAAGGACACATGCACACAAATATTCATTGCAGCACTGTTTACAATAGCAAATACTTGGAACCAACCCAAATGCCCATCGATGATAGACTGGACAGGGAAAATGTACATATACACCATGGAATACTATGCAGCCATTAAAAACGATGAGTTTGTGTCCTTTTTAGGGACATGGATGAACCTGGAAACCATCATTCTTAGCAAACTGACACAAGAACAGAAAATCAAACACCGCATGTTCTCACTCATAGGTAGGTATTGAACGATGAGAACACATGGACACAGGGAGTGGAGCATCACACACTGGGGTCTGTGGAGGGGGGAACCAGGGTAGGGACAGCAGGGTGTGGGGAGTTGGGGAGGGATAACATGGGGAGAAATGCCAGATATAGGTGATGGGGAGGAAGGTAGCTATCTTGCATGTTCTTCACATGTACCCCAAAACCTAAAATGCAATAAAATATATATTTTTAAAAATGGCCCACTACTTTACATATGAATATGTAAAATACAGTGAATCTATCATTTACACATGTAAGTGAATATTAAATGCTTTCCTTAGAAAGTTTAAGAAGCTGTTGAAATGGTATTTCCCCATTTTCTCTCACCGACGGTCCTGGATATGGCTGGGATCTGTGTCCCCACCGAAATTTAGTGACATGTAATACCCAGTGTAGGAGGTGGAGATGATTGGATAATGGGGCGGATTTTTCATGCAGTTAGTACCATCCCCTTGGTGCTGTCCTTGAGGTGATGAATGGTTCTCATGAGATCTGGTTATTTACAAGTGTGTGGCATCTCCCTCACCTCTCTCTCTCACTCATCTCCCCTCTCTCTCACTCTCATCTCCCCTCTCTCTCACTCTCATCTCCCTCCCTCCTTCATTTCCCCCCTTCTTGCTCATCTCCCCCTTCTCTCTCATCTCCCTACCTTGCTCTTCTCCCCGACTCATCTCTCCCCAGCTCATCTCCCCACTTTCTCACTTATCTCTCCCCCACCCCCCGCTCATCTCCCTGACTTCTTGCTCCTGCTCTGGTCATGTCACCTTCTGCCATGATTGTGAGCTTCCTGAGGCCTCCCCAGATGCCTAGCAGATGCCAGTATCATGCTTCTGGTACAGCCTGCAGAAACTTGAGTCCATTAAATCTCCTTTCTTTATAAATTACCCAGTCTCAGGTATTTCTCTAGAGCAATATGAGAATGGACTAATATGGTGCTGAATGGTTAACTATTGCTTGGGTTTATACAGGAACTTTCTCCTACAGATCCCAAGTAATTTTCAGTGTATTTCCTGTTTGTTTCTAAGAGCTGACATTCTTGCACTCTACATTCATAGTATCTAAAGGCTATGCCTTGGGAAGAAAGATTGGTGTATTCTTTGGAGAAAGTAAACTTTTGAGAGGCTTCAGATGGCTTTTCGCTTTGTAACCCACTAGATAACTTAATGAGATAAAATTTGGACCGGTCTTTAAGTCATCCATGGAAAAAAGAGCCAAGGAGAGGGATTGAGCCTGGGTAGGCACAGCAAATGAATGCCCAGCCCTTCCCTAGATAAAGCACAAATCTCTTCTTTGCAGCTTTGGTGGTGATGGTGATGATGATGGTGGTGGTGATGACAGTGAAGATAATGATGGCAATGGTGATGATGGTGGAGATGATGGTGGGGATGGGGATGGTGATAATGAAAGTGATGAAGATAATGGTGATAGTGGTGATGATGATCATGATGGTGATGGTAATGACGGTGGTGGTGATGGGGATGGTGATAGAATGGTGATGATAATGAAAGTGATGGTGAAGGTAATGGCAATGGTGACGGTGGTGGTACTGATTATGATGATGATGATGATCATGATGGTGATGGTGATAATGGTGGTAGTGAGGGGGATGGTCACCAGATGGTGATGGTGGTGATGATGATAATAAAGGTGATGGTGATGATGATGATACACTGAACATAAAGTAGTTCATATAACTCTAAACACTTGGTTTAAACTGACTTTTTACAGGTGGGGGTCTTTATGAACGTCAACTTTCTGTGGAAGACAACACTGAAAGCATGGAGGAGCCATCACACCTAACACCTTCCACAACATTACCACAATATTAGGAACTTTACACTTCCATTTTGGGTATATTTTCTCAGGGAATATGGCTGTTGCTGTACTTCCATTTCTGTTAATTATAGTATTCTTATATCCTCCCAATATTTCAACTATTGAGGTCTTTTCTGAGATCTTGAATGTTGCCTGTTTTATTGTAAGGCCTTTCCAAATTCTTACCGGTTGCTACTGCACAACTAACTTTCCATGAAGTAGACTTCATAGCCTTTTAATGCCATGACAACAGGGAAGCCCAGCTTTAATTAACAACTGGTTCCTAGGAGGTAACCCAAAGCTTTCAGATTAGACTAATTCTGCCTGAAGAGCCAGGTGCATGAGGTACTTCTGTTTATTTTCAGAGGTGTTCAGTCATGGGCTGCCTTCTCCGCAGGCTCCCTGATGAGTTCGAGCAGCCCCAGGGCGGCCTGAATGTCGGGGATCTTGCAGAGCCCATTTCCTCTGGCTCCTTCCTGGCTAATTGTGAGAGGCAGGAAGGAGCTGAAGATGCCACTTAAGGCTGGACAAAATGCCAATCCACCTCGCAATTGCAGGGAGTGGGCCTCAAATGATCTGTAGTGCATTTAGAGTGTGCCTGAGACAGTGGAAGTTAGATCTTCAAAATCCTGCCCGCTGTGTATACACAGATGCTCCAAAAGTCATATAAACATTCTGGTCCAATTCTGACAGTCCAAGTCATTAGACTCTTCACTACAGTGTTTATTGCCTAGATAAAACTCTAGATAAAACACTTAACTTTTGAGATCAATGTTAAGGTAAATGAGGATAGTTTTTAGAGCCTCATTTCTTTTTTTTTTGAGATGGAGTTTTGCTGCTGTTACTCAGACTGGAGTGCAGTGGCACGATCTCGGCTCACCACAACCTCTGCCTCCTGGGTTCATGCAATTCTCCTGCCTCAGCCTCCTGAGTAGCTGAGACTACAGGTGCGCACCACCATGCCCAGCTAATTTTGGTATTTTTAGTAGAGACGGGGTTTCACCTTGTTGACCAGGATGGTCTCGATCTCTTGACCTCGTGATCCACCCGCCTCGGCCTCCCAAAGTGCTGGGATTATAGGCGTGAGCCACTGCGCCTGGCCTAGATCCTCATGAGGATTTGCTTTAAAAAATTGTTCAAGTAAATGTTTTATTTTTAGGGGAGAATCAAAAGGAGCTGGAGACAAACAAGAGGTTTTCCTCTGGGGAGCTAAAGATTTATCTAAAGAGAGATGCATGGTTGCTATGACAAGGGGGAGAGAGAGTGCCAAAAATGAAACAAACCACAGGTATTAGAAAAGAAGAAAATATTTGTAAGCACCAAGTACATTTTAGACTTTCAAACTGTCTTGCAAAGTTTTATCCCAGGACGTCTGCCTGTGAAGCAAGCCGGTATCCACTGTAGTAATATCCACAGTAGTTACCGTGTGGCCATGTGGGTGCGCTTTGCCTTATTTGATTGATGATGATAGTGATGATGCTGGATTATGCTATTTAAATTCACTATCCTACAATGCACGGATATGATCATATTTTCCATATTTCTGTTACTCAATAGGAAAATCAGAAGACAGGAATTTAAGGAACTGTATTTTATATTCCCTGACTTCTTATGAGATTTTGGTTAAATCTCTTGAACTGCCTTTCTATTCGATGAATGGAATTGGCTTAGAACAAATGTACTAGGCTTTTAGCATGAACCTGTAGGTAAATATATGACATAATCTATTTTTCCTGGCATTTTCTGGATACAGACTGGAGAATTTAAGCTGTTAAGTTCTCAGAAAATGACTGTAAGAACTGAATTTACCAGGCTATTTAAAAACCATGCCAAGAAGGAAGAATCTGCAGGTAGGTTGTTGGTGGGTTGGGAGGAGAAGAGCTGCTCAACCACAGTGAAGTGCTGAGGTCCTCATCTTCTGCTCCATTTGGGCCCTTTCAGAACTGCCTGAGTTCTCGCCCAGGCCATGAAGGAACTGGTTACCCTCTGAGCCTTGGCTGAGAGCAGTCATCGGAAACCTGACTGACATAGACACACAGCTATGTTCTCCTGGCTGTGGGAAGAAATGTCTTTCAGGCATTTGTCCTTACCTTAACTGACCTGGCCCTTCTAGGGCCAGGAGAAAGCCACACGTGTGACAGTTTTGAGTCAGCTGAGATGAACGGAGTAGGCCTGGGTCTCAGGATATTGAAGACCAAGTCCGTAGTCTCTGTTACAGAAGCAACTTTCCCCTTTTCTGCATGCGATACACCATAGACAAGTTTCTTTCCTGCCCATGATGCTGCTGAGCTGGGAGTCTGGCCGTAAGCTCTGCCTGCCCTCTGGAGACAGACAGGCTACCAGGCCATCCATGCCTCCAACCCCTTTCTACAAAGCCAGCAAGGCAACAAATGCCCAGTCTGAGCAGATAATTTAAGGAGTTCAAATCTGGTGGCTCAAAACCTGACCTGTGCTCAGAAAACTGCAGAGCCTTGGACCCTTCTCTGCCCTGAATGCATCAGAATCTTGGCCAGAGTGCATGGGGGGAGCTGCATTGGTAAACACTGCCCTGGGACCCTGATAGATAAGCCAGGGATGGAAACAGCAAACTCGAATGCCTTCCAAAGCTCAGAGGCAACACAGCTCCCAGAATACCTGAGATAAACTGGCATTGATACCATGTCTAAGGCCTCCAGGAATGGGGAATTTATGATCTAGCTAGACAAATATTTTTGAGGGGAAAAATAAAATGGGGACATCTAGAATTTCTCAAGCCACATGCACCCTAGGAAAGTGGGGCTTGATGGCAACTCCAGGGCCCTTGTGTTGTGTCTAAGACTTGAAGCCCCTGAGCCAGGGCCTAAGGTGGTTGGGGCTCTGGAAAATCCTAGTCCTGCTAAGCTGTCGGAGCAGGTGCTGCTGGGAGGCAGCTGCTCAACAGCCACTGGGGAGTCAGAAATGTGCTCCTAGAAACTCCACATCAGACTTGCTTCTCTCCTGGCCCTTTGGTTACACGACACTGTAATGATTAAACTTATCTACATAAATGTTTTCTTATGCTCCACTCTGTGTTCATTTTTGAAGGAAGGGGGAACAATCTAGGGCACCAAACTCATGTGCTCATGCATGTTAGTGTGTGCATGTGCTTTTGTGAACACATTATGCATGTTTATGCACATGCTTATGTATGTTTGTGTGCACATGTGTTTATATGTGTGTGTGCATGTGCTTTTGTATGTTTAAGTGTACATGTGCTTATGCATGTGTATTTGTGTACACGTGGGTACATATGTGTGTGTGTGAGGTGTCTGGCACAGTTGCTAGAGAGGTTAACAGGCGTGGCTCCTGTGGAAGATGCACAGTTCGATGCAATGGAGGAGTGAGGAAGCGATGAGTTGAAGTGACCAGGACCAAGCACTGTGCTGGTGAGAGGACACAGGACAGGTCCAGAAGGGGCCAGAGCCAGAGAGCACTCGAAAAGACTGAGACCTGCACCGTCGGCTTCAGATGAGCTCCTCTGGCCCCGAGTGAATGTCTCAGTGAAGGAATTGAGTGCTCTGCACTCTGGCCTCTGCATTTGTGAGAATGACATCATGGCCTCAGGGCTTTCCTGGTTCCCTGGGCTTCTTTTGGGGGCGTTGGCCTCTGAATCGGAGGGGCAGTGCTGCTGGGTTTCTGCAGGGTTAATCCACAGGAGGGAGGTGGTGCCAGCGACAGGCCTCTGTGAACAGTGATAACTGGAGGCATCCAGCTCCCACCACCAGGCTTTCCTTTGGGGGCTTGTCACCATTATCTCTGCTTTTGGCTAGCCCTGGAGGACCCCTCACAGCAAAAGCCTGGCCACTTGCATCCCCTTATCCATGGCCCACCCCTCTTTAAAGGGTAACAAGGAAACACACCGCCTGAGTTAGCAACGTGGAGACCCCTGCCCCTTATCGTAAAGGAGCTTAATGCATCTCTGCAGGGGAAATGGCAGGATTTGTTCCTGAGGGTCTCTGCCTTCCGCAGGGGGTTCGAAGAATGCAGAGCCAGCTCTCTGAAGGCTCCTCCAAGAAGAGAACAGCAGGCACTTGGGCTCTCCTGCCTTTACTGAGTGACTCTGGCAGACGAGTCCCTGTTAGAAAGTTGCCAAGTGCCTTCCTTCTCCACGCTCCCCAGACAGGAGAGTGGAAAAGCGGCATCAGCCCAACATAGAGGCAAGCATGGGCAGGAGTTTCTCAATTTTGCCTGGCATATTTGCTGCAAAAATGGAAGAAAAATGCTTTATTTTCTATCCTACCAGCACCTGTCACTTCTTAAAAGCACCATGAAATAAAAGACATCTGTGTCTGGAAGTGAACCCCCAGGGTGCCTCAGAGAAAGTATTTGTTTTTCTAAACCACAGACACTGCAGTTGGAACTGAGGGCTGGCTGGAGAGGCTGCAGTTGGTGATCAATGTACAGAGACGTGGGAGGCCCAATGAGCTAGAACTGTCCCCTGGGGAGACCACAGGGTCTCTGGCGTGGACAATGCTCCTGCTGTTCTCACTCAGCCCTCTCCCGACTCCCACCAGGGACACATTAGCCAAGGAAGAAGCTGGATGAATTAGCGCTAACCCCAAACATTTGGCGAGACTTCTCCTCTCGAGTCTGAGGGCGCCTAGCTGGGTCTTTATGATGCCAACCCTTTCAAGAAGAATGGAAAGAGAATTCCCAGTGGCTGTTCAATGGACCAGATTTCAGTTTTATAGGGTGAGTCGGTATCTCGTAGCTCTGGCTCACTGAATCTGGCTGGTGAGAAGTGACTCCTGGCCGTTTTGCTGTCTCTCTACTCCTGAGCCAGCCTGGTGGCGGGGGGATGCTCTGTGTCATCTGTGAGGCCGCACGGGGCCCCCTCCTCAGGTGTACAGGCTGCCCCTGTCTCTCTCCCTCCTGCAGGCTGTTCCTGTTAAAGTGGCTGATGTGGAACCAGCTTCCTTTTCTTCATTCCCAGTTTGACAGGATTCTCCCATCTCATTTCCAAAGGGTGTGGAAATGCCACCTGAATCCACTTAACAGAGAACCCTCTCCAGCCATTCCTGAAGGAGAAAGCGGTGGGGCTGAAGGGAAGCCCGCAAATAGGAGGAATTTTTCTGGGCCAGCATCCGACCTGAAGGCTGGAGAATCAGGCTAAGCTCAGGCAGGATTAAAAACACCCTACCCGACATCTTCTTATCTTTGGTGGAGGCTACATGACAGGCCTGGGACACAGCAGGGCTCTAAAAAAACACTTATTTTTCTTTATCTTGGTAATTAAAACATCATATAGCCTTTCACTGGGGGAAACTCAGGCCAAAGCCAAGCCTTGGTAGTAGTGTCCATGTATGTCCACCAGGGATTTCCTCCTGTATCAGGATTGGACCCCTCATCATACACACAGATTTAACTTCACTGTCTGCACTGAAAGACCTGCCTGGGACAGGCAGTGTGTGATACAGATATGTAGTATATGTGGTATGTGTGTGGCATTATGTGGTGTGTGTGGTATCTGTGTACAGGGTGGTACGTGTCTGGTATATGTGGTACATGTGTGGTGTGTTGTATTTGTGTGGTATGTGTGTGGTGTGTGCGTGGTGTGTATGGCATGTGTGGTGTGTGTATTTGTGTGGTGTGTGTGGCATCTGTGTACAGTGTATGTGGCACGGGTCTGGTGTATGTGGCATATACATATGCGTGTGACATATGCAGACAGCACTAAGCAATAGGATTTCATCATTAAAATGAGAGGAGTTTGCCTGCAGCACCTTTTCTCTCATCATGGAAATGCTGATGTCAAGGATGGCATCAAGGCAGAGTCACACCCTGCCCTCTGCCCTGGCATTCAGTGTCACTGACCTTTGCTGATGGAGACAGAGGGGTGGAGGCCGTGTGGATGCATTCTGTCCTACATCCATGGATACACACTCAGGGTGGGTTTGCAATGGAACTTCATAGTTCACCTGGGGAGACCCCTTCGCAGGGAATCGCTCATCCCTGGTTGGTTACAAAAGCCGAGCTTTTTCTCCCCAGCACTGTGAGCAAAGGCAAGCAGAGCTAGTCTGAATTTGTTCCCAGCCTGCCTAACTCTCACTGGCCTTCTCTTCATTCCATTTTCACAGCCTGGGACACAGGGATTGTATCAAGTATTAAAACAAAGCAGAGAACTACAGCAATTAGGTAGCTAATTTTAGGCCTCAGACTACTTTTCTGTCAATCACCTGAGCATTTCAGACTAAGATTTTGAAGGCATGGCTATCCCACTAATTGCAGACGCAATCCCCTTCTAGCACCGAAGGGCCAGGGCACATAGTGCCCCCGCAGTGGGCTGGGAAAGCCCAGGACAGAGTCCCAGGTAGAGCGAGCTGGGGCCTGTCAGCCTATAGGAGGTAAAAGTGTTGTCTCTTACGGTCTGTGGTGATCTCGTAGGGGGAGTGGAGTCTCGCGTCTCCGCAGGGGGAGGTGCTCACATAGAGATGGAAGAGGATGTTTTCCCGCAGCCGGTAGCCGCCTTCTTTTAACCGCATGAAGATTGATCGCTCCGAGTCCTCACGCCGCGTGCTAGGGTCACAAAGAGGTTTGGGGTCATTTATTACAAACCAAACCAGAAACGTTTCAACCAGCTGAATGCTTGGGTCCTATTTTATAGAGTTGTTCCCCAAGTTTTTCTGTTTTTTTTTTTTTTGCCTTTTTTTGAGACGAAGTCTTGTTCTGTTGCACAGGCTGGAGTGCAGTGGCATGATCTTGGCTCACTGCAGCTATACCTCCTGAGTTTAAGCAATTCTTCTGCCTTAAGCATCAAGGCTGCCTTAAGCATACTCAGCCTTCCTAGTAGCTGGGATTACAGAAGTGCACCAGCACGCCTGGCTAATTTTTGTATTTTTAGTGGAGATGAGGTTTCACTGTGTTGGCCAGGCTGGTCTCAAACTCCTGACCTCAGGTGATCTGCCCACCTCAGCCTCCCAAAGTGCCAGGATTGCCGGTGTGAGCTCCCATGCCCGGCCCCCAAGTTTTTTCTTCTTCATACCCCATAGCGTCTTTTCCCTGCACCAGCAATGAAACCACGTGAATGCAAACATGACTGGCAGAAACCCTGCCTTCTTGCCTCCCTCGACGTTCATCTGTCAGAATTATTATTATTTTTTAAAGATAGGTCTTGCTCTGTTACTGCCCAGGCTGGAGTGCACAGTGTCATCACAGCTCAATGCAGCCTCGGCTTCCCGGGCTCTAGTGATTCTCCTGCCTCAGCCTCCCAAGTAGCTGGGACTACAGGTGCATACTACCATGCCAGGCTAATTTATTTACCTTTTTTTTTTTTTGTAGACAGGGTCTTGTGTTGCCCAGGATGGTCTGGAACTCCTGGGCTCAAGTGATCTGCTTGCTTGAGGCTCCAAAAATGCCGGGATTACAGGTGTGAGCCACCAAGACTTTTTTCTTTTTTTGAGATGGAGTTTCACTTTTATTGCCCAGGCTGGAGTGCAGTGGTGCAATATTGGCTCACTGCAACCTCTGCCTCCCAGGTTCAAGCAATTCTCCCGTCTCAGCCTCCTGAGTAGCTGGGATTACAGGTGCCTGCCACATTGCCTGGCTAATCTTTGTATTTTTAGTAGAGATAGGGTTTTGCCATGTTGGCCAGGCTGGTCTTGAACTCCTGACCTCAGGCCATCCACCCGCCTTAGCCCTGCAAAGACCTGGGATTATAGGCGTCAGCCACCACACCCGGCCCCACCACAATCTTTTCCCGAGCCATTTTTTCCATTGCTGTTAACCACAGCTGTCTACAAAGGTGTGATTCTGGGGATTTACCAGTGCTGCTCATGGCCTGTTCGTGTTTGATTAGGAGGAGGAAAGGAGCTTTAGGAAGCCCGGGCTCAGTCACCAGCACAGGTGGAGGTAGAGAAACGTCTCTCCTTCTGCAACTGGCCATGACCCACATGGGGCGGGAGAAGCCCCAGCCTCTCTCTGAGGGGGAAGGATTCAGCCTGTTGCAAAAGCCCCAACAGCCACAAAGTTCAACCCGAGCGGGTGGGCCCTGAACAAGGCGCCTGTGTTTCCTCTCTTGGTGTTTGCTCCCCTGCCTCCTGGCTGTCTGCTTTCTGCTGGTCTTGCTGTTTTTGCACGTTCTAGCCAGTGGGTGATGGATTGTGTTCTGTGGGGCCCTGCGATCACACAGGCAACAGAACAGACATCTCTGCAGGAAGCGCTTGAAGTGTCCACCAGCCTTCCTACCTCTGTGCCCACTGCCCTGCATGGCCCCAGCTGCCTCCCCCCAGGACCCTTGGCAAACGTGTCGCAAGCCTGGGCCCCCGCGCAGAGCCTGTCAGCTATGCGGCCACCCTGGACTTGCCCCCCGGTGCTGGTTCCCATGCAGGGCAGGTGACGGGTGCACCCTCCCCAAAGGGCGGCACAGAGCCAGGCCTGTAACCAGCTCCTGGTAAATATCGGCCCCGCTGCCTTCTCTGACACAAACAAGAGTGAGGGATCTTGGAGTGTGTCCCAGCTCTCGGGGTAAGGAGGAAGCCTGGAATCTCAGCGTCTCCCCAGCCCGCACGGTGGCTCTGCTAGTGTGCCAGGGATGCCTCCAGACTGAATTAAAAGGGACACTTCCTGGCTCACCCTGTGCTGGGAGAGGGGGAAGTGTGTTCTGAGCTAGGCATGGGGACCCCCTGCTCCCTGGCAGCCTCCAGCCACGGCGTCTGCCCACCCTGGAGCCCGTCCCCAGCCGCTCACCTCAGGTGCAGCTCCAGCTGCGTGTATAGGAAGTGCAGGAACGCCCGCCGGGCCACGACCTCCGCGTGGCAGTCGTTCACCACCAGCCCCTGGTCACTGAGGTGCTCGCCGCTGATGCACTTGGTCCCCGAGGACAGGACCACCACCTGCGCTTGCCGAGCGTCCAAGCCTGGGGACACAGACAGCGTCAGAGCGGCACGGCCCACGGCCCCTGGAGGTCGGGCCTCTCCCTCCTCCGTCTTTTCAGAGTCTCACCGCAGCAGTTTCTCTGGGTTGGGAACCCTTGGAAACACTGCGTTTTGAGAGCTGGGAAGCGAGGCTTCTGCGTGCCCCAGGCCGTCACGGGTGACCGCCTGCCCAAGGGATTCCCGTCGGCTCCATGGCGGGCTGAGGCAGCGCTCAGGGTGCCTCCCGTTACCCTGAAGCTTGTGCATGCTCCTTCGGCACCACAGGAGCAGAGAGTCTGGAGGTCAAACTTGGTACCAGGCAGTTTCCTTCACCTAAGTCCCAGGCCCCGTGAGTGGGAGCAGTGCTGGCTGCGGCTTCCTGCCCCGCCTGTGACCACCGTGGCCCGGGCTTCCTACCCCGCCTCTGACCGCCCCTGTGGCCCGGGCTTCCTGCCTCACCTCTCACTGCACCTGTGGCCCGGGCTTCCTGCCCCGCCTCTCACCGCACCTGTGGCCCGGGCTTCCTGCCCCGCCTCTCACTGCCCCTGTGGCCCGGGCTTCCTGCCCCGCCTCTCACCGCACCTGTGGCCCGGGCTTCCTGCCTCACCTCTCACCGCACCTGTGGCCCGGGCTTCCTGCCCCGCCTCTCACTGCCCCTGTGGCCCGGGCTTCCTGCCCCGCCTCTCACCGCACCTGTGGCCCGGGCTTCCTGCCCCGCCTCTCACTGCCCCTGTGGCCCGGGCTTCCTGCCCCGCCTCTCACCGCACCTGTGGCCCGGGCTTCCTGCCTCACCTCTCACTGCCCCTGTGGCCCGGGCTTCCTGCCCCACCTCTGATCGCCCCTGTGGCCCGGGCTTCCTGCCTCACCTCTCACTGCACCTGTGGCCCGGGCTTCCTGCCCCGCCTCTCACCGCACCTGTGGCCCGGGCTTCCTGCCCCACCTCTCACTGCCCCTGTGGCCCGGGCTTCCTGCCCCACCTCTGATCGCCCCTGTGGCCCGGGCTTCCTGCCTCACCTCTCACTGCCCCTGTGGCCCGGGCTTCCTGCCCCACCTCTGACCGCCCCTGTGGCCCGGGCTTCCTGCCCCGCCTCTCACCGCCGGTGACCCTGGGCTTCCTGCCTCACCTCTGACCGCCTCTGCACTTTTCCCTTTCCCGCAACAGGATTGTGGCAGGACAGGAGCTGATGAACCCTTCACACTGACACAGAAAGGAGGCTGGATGTGTCATGATTTGCTTTTCACAAGATGATGTTCATTTTAACCATAGTCAAAGGAACCCCACCCACAAGAATGATACTCCCTTCAAGGACAGAAAACAAAACCAACCTCAAAAACAATCCCCAACTTAATATCCGTAAAGTATAATACCCATCATTTTGTTTAAGGGGAAGCTGGAAGATCACAAACCACTCTAATGGGTCTTTGTGGATGTGTTTCTTCTCTTCACTTAGATGGTTAATTCCTTGAGGACACGAGCCAGAATTTCCACCAAACACTCCAAGCAAGGGCTCCCTCGGGGGTCCATGTCATTAGGCAGGTCACTATTGCTGATCCAATAACAAATCCATTGTCCAGGCCATTCGGCTGGAGGTGGCAGGTGTGTTGTGGGTGCCCAGGAGCCTTGGAATGTAACAGCTGCCCACAGGGCCCAGATCCTGTGCCATGTGAGGGCAGCACAGAGGCTCCTAAGCGGCTGACTGCAGTCACCTCCACGGAGTTACCTGGTAAATACATGTCTGGACCATTTTGTGGAAGAGGTGACGCGCAAATTAATGTCCTGCCAGAAGCAGACCTCCCATTTCAAATAAAATCGACTTTCCCACCACAGACAGCGCTGGGCGTGTTGTGAGCACTTTATTCACGCTTCTTCCTCTGATGTGATTTTTTCTCCTGTGAGCACTTAGTTCTTCAGCCTCGAGGGAATCTGCCCTCTCCAGCCTGCACCATGGATATTTCTTTGAAAGATAAAAGGGAGGCGTCAGCAGCTGTCAGTGAGCCCCAGGGAGAATGTGGCGTGGAGTCCCCTGGGTGGGACCCAGTTCTGGGGAAGGGCCCTGCAGAGGCCGAGCGGCACCCCTGTCCCCTGGCTCTGCAGCCAGGCTGTGTCTGTCCAGTCTCCTTCCTTGCAGGCAAAGCTGTCCAGTTCAGCACGGCCCCTGCCTCCTGCCTGTGTCCACCACTGTCCCTGCTCATCCCGGCTTCTCCCCCATTTCTGTGTCCAAAGAGAATGCTGTGGTCCTGGTCCTGTTGTCTACGCACTATCCCCTCCTGGTGGGACTGTACTGCCGTGAGCTTAGGAAATGATGGGACTTCCCCACACCGGCTGCTTTCATGAAAGTTGGACACAACCAGCCCCTGAGTTCCTTCCCTAGGAAAGTTCATGAGCAGCTGCTCCTTCCCAGGCCCAGGCATCCTCCTCTCGCAGCCATTCTGGCGGCGAGGGCTGACTCCCAGCGGGGGTTTCAGGAGCAGATGGGACCAGGATCTAAGGCTACAGGGAGGCGGGGTGGGTGGGCTGCCACTGACCCTGCCAGGGGAGGGGCCGCATGTCACTCAGGCAGTCAGTGACATGCGGACTGTGGAGAAATGGCTCATGAGGATGCCATCGCGATGGAGAAATCCCTCCGCAGTTCCAGCTTCATGGAAGCAGGTATTCAGAGAATGGGAAACAAGCTGATAATGATTTCCTAACGAGCTTCAGTGTTCATGGCCTGTTTGCACAGTCTCTGGTGGAAACACACAACTCTTCAGGAATAGGTGCTGTGGCCTGTGAGGCCCCAGACTGCTCCTCCTCTTTGGGTTCTGTGGAAATTGGAGCTGTAGAAAAAAGCAACTGCTTTCCCTTCACCCCTCATTAATTCCCAGCTCTGTTTGGCTCTGGGCTCTGCCACACTCAGCACAATTATGAGGCCCAAGAAGTGCATTGTTTGCGTATTCAGCTTTCATTAATCCCACTCCCGTGGCCAGCACCATGCTCCCGACGTGGCAGACACGAAGCCTGGACTTAGGGAGGTGACGCAGTCAGAAATGCCCACAACAGGATACATTGTATGGTAAATGTCCCCGAAGTGCTGCATACAGAACTTCACCAGCATGAGAGAGGGAGAGGGAGGGAGGAGAAGAAGAGGGATGGACTCACACCGGCAAGCTTCTGCACAGGTTGTGGGAAGAGGCGTCCTAGGCAGAGTGAGCATGGTGGCCAGAGGCAGAGATGGGAAAGGGCACAGGTGTATTCTGTGGGACAATGAACTTACTTTGGAACCCATCGGAGAGGTGTGGGACAGTGGTGGGCTAAGCTTCAAAGGCAGGTGGAAACTAGTTACAGAGGCCTGGAGTACAACCCTGAAGATACCAGCTCTTCACCAACAGACAATGGGATCAGTGAAAGGGCCAGCAGTCCTGTCGCCCATGAGTGAGTGTTGAGTTACACAGGAGAAGAGAGGTGGCCAGGACACTGGGCAGGAGGCCGGGTCTGGACACTGCGTGGGAGGACTTAGGAAGTGCCCTTGGGAGTGGGCTGGCGGGAGGGACCCAGAGAGCAAAGCAGGCACTGAATCCACAGGATTCGGGAAATTTACACAGAGGATGAGGGAGAGGCAGAAGCTAGAAGATGTGCTTGAGTATCACACAGTTTAAATGAGAAATAGGAAGATTTTAATGAAGAATGACCGAATTCAAGGCTGACCAATTTAATATGGGGGAAAGGAGAGGACGGACATCGTCGTCTCGTCCCTGGAGTCATGAGGATGATCAGCATCAGGCAGCACACTGAGGTAGAAAACAGAGCTTGGCAGCCGTCAAACACGGCGAGCAAAAAGGCATCAAAAGCAGAAACTGCACCAGGCAGCATTCAGATAAACACGCTTTCCTTAATGCCCCATCACAGGGGCCAGCCAGTGCGAGGGCAGCGTCGCCATGGCAGGGCCACAGGCAGCTGGAGGCCGCTGAAATCTCTGGAGAGAAATGGGGTCCTTAGTTTATGGGCATCACCCTCCAGGTACAAACCGGTGGCATTTGGGGCAGTGTGGACCCTGCACAGAAGTGTCTGATGCTCTCCATTTCCAGTGCTCTGGTTCCCCACACAGAGACCCTTGATTGCTGGGGTCAGGGTGAGGCCATGCCAAGCTGTATGGACACCAAAAATGCTCTGCACTCAATGAGCAATGCTTTGCATAAAAACGTGCCTGAAGCCAGGCCGTCCTGCAGCAGAGGCTGGCTTGGGGATGCTCTGGCAGGGGCTTATTGAATCAGGAAGACAGGATGGGGTGAGGGGAGGCTGTGCTGAGGTCCAGTCTCTGGCTGACCCAGCAGGAAGCTCTAGAGTGTAAGGCAAGGGTGTGTGATGTGTCAGTTACAAGCTGTGGGTGCTCCGGGTGTGCAGGCTTTCGCTGGCCAGGGCCATTCTCAGGAGGAGGCTGCAACCGTGGGCTGCTCCTGGCCAGCACTCTGAGTAGCTGGGGACAGTCAGGAGCCCAGGACAGGGCAGCTGTGGTGCCAACAATGTTTACTCCAATCCTTCCAGTGATGCTGTAAGGCTGATCAAATGCAAGTTTCTACAGAAGCGTCACTCCATAGAGAGTGACTATTGGTGATCTCTTTCCTTATAAATGGCTGTTGAGAGTAAAACTACTACTCTGTAAGACAACATGAGAAGCAGTCACAGAAAATATAAGCCTACTGATTTCTGTAGAATAAGTAGAAAACCCTACAAAAGAGCAGGGTTACTACACTCTCACCAAAGCACCACGCACAGTTAGTTTTGTAAAATTCGACAGAACCTTTAAATAGCAGACAGTTGCAAGGTTATTCTAGGTGTTCAGAGCATATTAAGACAAGACAAGCCTTGTCTTTCTCTTTTAAGGCTGTTGTGACCATGGAATGCCTACATTATCCTCACCTCCACCTGACTGGGGCTACACAACAAAGAAAACAACAGAGGGCCCTCAGTTATAAAGATTCAAACATTCTCTACCATCAAGTAGCAGAGGAAAAGAACACTACA